TAAGGATCATCTTTTGATTATCAGCCTCTGCTCTGTCCTCAAATAATGGAGCATAACTTTAATTTAGAAAGCTTCTGTATCCTAAAAGACCCACTAGCTAGGTCTGAATTCATGATTCTTTAACCTTTTTTAACATTCCAATCTTTTTTGGACTCGCTAGAACCAAGAAATTATAGCAAGTGGATTTAAAAGACATAGATTAAGTCTTTTTGTAAATCTATTAGAAAGTATTGACTTGACATCTTAAATAGTTAACTGAAGTTTAGCTAAGCACTGTGGAGAGGCCTGGCCTTGATTAGATTAGCAAAAGCGCTAAACCTGTAGTTTGTGCAAAGTTAATAGTGTTGGTAATAACTAGCCTAATGTATGTATAAAACATTACCTGCATTCTCAGTTATGTGTCTGTACTGTACTGGTTTGCTTCTTCCTTATTTTGTCAAAGAATTCTGTTTTACCTTATTTTTCTATTGGTTTTAGATAAATTGATTATTGAATTATTGTAGCTCTGTGATCCTTACTGGGGATCATAGACTATTCTCTCCAGTGGACTGTCAGACTGTTTTAGGCACCACACCAACTATACCTGAGCCTATACATGAGTAGACCCATTTACTATGTTTTTCCTTCATGACTGCTACCATCATCACAACTTAGGGGTACTCACTCGGTCTACCAGTGAAAGCCGTCTCTTTTTGTAACTTGAAGAACCTTGTCATAATGTAACTGAAAAGCTTCCTTCATCACCACAGGGAAGTCTGAGCATATCATCCCTAAAAGATAGCCAGGCCCTTCAAAAGTGGGGCCCATTTGAGGTGAAGGGGCTTAGGTACAAACTTCTAGTTATAAGTAAGTCACGGAAATGAAAAGTGCAGCATAGAGAATATAGTCAGTAATGTTGTAATAACATTGTATGGTGACTACACTTACTGTGGTGAGCACTGCATAATGTATAGAATCGTTGAATCACTATGTTGTACACCTGAAATGAATATAACATTGTATGTCAACTATACCTCAAAAATACATTTTTTTAAACTGGGTGCATTTGATTCCTTGAATATTTTTGTGCAGTTCGTGTCACTAAATTACAGAACCTTTTTATTATTAGGTTACATAATTACCTAACATTTTTAATAGGATTTCCTGTGTTTCTAAAGAGGAACAACTACTGGTTTATTTCTGCCAGCCAATGGTAAAAGTCAACCTGCAGTTCTTTTTATACCATTTACATGTGGTATCAATTTAGGCTTGATAATTGAGCCTTCTTAAGCTTTATTGTTAGAACAGAAAAAGTTCTTTTTTCAAAAATTGTCATGGTAAAATAAATAAAAAATTTACCATTGTAATCATTTTTAAATGTATAATTCAGTGTCATTAGTACATTCAAAATGTTATGTAACCATCACTACTATTTTCAGAACTTTTTCATCATTCCAAACAGAAACTCTGTACCCATTAAGCAATAACTCCCCATTTCTCCCTCTCTCCAGACCCTGGTAACCTTTATTCTACTTTCTGTCTCCATGAATTTTCGTATTCTAGGTACTTCATATAAGTGGATTCATACAATATTTGTTATTTTGTGTTTGGCTTATTTCACTGAGCTTAATATTTTCAAAGTCCATCTATGTTGTAGCCTGTATCAGAACTTCATCCCTTTTTGTGGCTGCTGTATATTCCACATTTTGTTTCTTCATTCACCTATTGGTAGACATTTGAGTTTTTTTTTTTTCCCACCTTTTGGTTATTGTGAATAAAGCCCTTCTGAACATTGGTATGCAGGTATCTGCTGAGTTCCTGTTTTCAGTTCTTTTGGGCATATACCTAGAAGTAGAATTGCTGGGTCACATGATAATTCTATGTTTAATTTTTTTTTTTTGGAACCACCATGTTGTTTTCACAGCAACTACATCATTTTATATTCCCACCAGCAGTGTGCAAGGGTTCCAATTTCTCTCTGTCTTCACCAACACATAATTTTTCATTTTTATTTTTTTAATAATAGCCATCTTAGTGGGTATAAAGTGGTATCTCACTGTAGTTTTGATTTTATATTTCCCTTATGATTAATGATGGCTGAACATCTTTTCGTGTGCTTATTGCCATTTGTATCTTTCTTGGAGAAACGTCTATTTAGGTCCTTTGCCTGTTTTTTAATTGGGTTGTTTGGTTTTTGTTGAGTTATAGGAGTTCTTTATATGTTCTGCCATGTGTTTGGTTTGTGTGTCAGGGTAATGTAGTGTTATAGAATGAGTTGACAAGTGTTATCTCCTCTTCAATTTTTTGGAAGATTTTGAGAACTAGTATTAATTCTTTGAATGTGTAGTAGAATTTATCAGTGAAGCTATCTGGTCCTGGGCTTTTCTTTGTTGGAATGTTTTTGATTACTGATTTAATCTCCTTACCATTTATAGATCTATTCAGATTTTCTGTTTCTTCTTGGGTCAGTTTTGTTACTTTGTGTGTTTCTAAGAATTTGTCCATTTTATCTAAGTTAGCCAGTTTGTCAGCATACAATTGTCCATAATCTTTTCTTATAATCTTTTTAAATTTAGTGCCAGTTAAATAAATCACTAGTAATGTCCCCACTTTTACTTCTGGTTTTAGTAATTTGAGTCTTCCCTTTTTTTCCCTCAGTTATTTAAGAACAGGTTGTAAAGGAGTCACATACGATACTTGTAACCTATATAAGACTCAGAATGAGGGAAAATGAACAAAGAAAGAAGATATGATTTGAGGGTTGGATTCATCTACGTAGTCTACGTTTTGTTGATTATTAAACCTTGGGGTGCTGTAAGACCAGTTGCTTTCTTCAATTTGGGAATAGTGCAAAAATTTCCTGGCAGGAAATTCATGGTCCTGGTTTTTTCTGTGCCTAACAGCACTATTAGATATTTTAGGGCATACTAAAGGTGTTCATTTTTTTTTTTTTTTACTAAAGGTGTTCTAAAGGAGAGTTAATAAGCACATGATACAATGTACACTAATGAAAATATGTGCTATTATTTCATAAAAACTCACCAGCTTCCCAAAATGAATCCAGTCTGCATATACTGTTTGTCTTTCTGGAATTGTATGATTCTCTTTATTCTGGCTGTAAGTGACAAAAATTAATTTTGGAAAAATATAGGCAAAATGTCAATTACCATTTATTGAATCAAAGGAAAGATTAAACAGCTAAACCTGAGATGAGAAAAGCACAGCTAAGTCTAAGGAAGAACAGGAATAAGAAAATTGATTGTCTCTAGTACCTTTGCCATCTCTCCTCTCTTCTCTCTTGTTGGCTTTATCTTCTCACTGAACAAATTACCTGCTTCTCGTGGCAGGAAATGTGGTTGCCAACCGCACCAGAATTTTATATCTTACAAATTCTATGATGGGAGAGGGACTGATTTTTTACTCTGTAGACTCCAAATTGTAAAATCTTGGAAAAGATTGGGGCACCTGGGTGGCTTAGGTGTTTGACTCTTGATTTTGGCTTGGGTCATGATCTCATGGGTTGTTAGATTGGACTGCAGCTCAGGGGGAGTCTGCTTGAGATTCTCTCCCTCTGCCACCCCTTCCCCCACAACTCGCACACATTTTCTCTCTCTCATTCTCTCTCTCTAAAAATAAATAAATCTTTTAAAAAATATAATCTTAGAAAAAATGTATTGGCTCAGCAAAAAGGTGCCTACCCAGTATCAACTCTGGCCAGGACCTTGTGGGAACATGACAGCCCTACTAATAGCCATGTGGAAACAGGTAGGGTATGGGAAGAATGAAGTTCCTAGAAGATTGGGGATGGTGAATAGACAGTTTAATGAATGCCCATAATGTATCAAAACTTGATTATGGTACATAAGATGACCAAATGAATGATACCACTTTTTCTCAGATAAAAGGGATTTGCCCTATTGATAAATGTAGCTGTATGTACTTGAGATATTCTTAGTTGATAAAACCTCCCCCTGGATTGCCTAAGAGTTGTAGAGATGTTGTACTTAGAATTCCAGCAATACACTCTCCTCTCACTCCCTACTGTACTCTGCTTTTGTTTGTTATTCGGTCTTCTTTTTAACAACTTGAGATACATTTCACATAGCACAAAATTCACACGTTTAAAATGTACAGCTCAGTGGTTTTTGATATATTCATAGTTGTACAACCATTAGTATAACTAATTTTAGAACATTTTCAATACACCAAAAAGAAAGTCCATGCCTATTAGCAGCCACAACCCATTGCTGTCTGTTCTCGCCCTCTTCCCTTTCCCGTCTACTTTCTGTCTATGGATTTGCCTATTCTGAATATTTCCTATAAATGGAATCATATCCTATGTGGCCTTTTATGTCTGATTTCTTTCATTTAGCATAATGTGTTCAAGGTTCATCTGTGCTTCATTTTAATTTTTGTGGTGAATAATATTCCGTTGTATGGGTATACTACATTTTAATTATTAGTTACAAATTGGCAGAGTAAAAATGAGACCCAGAAATATTTCAGTTGTGGTAAATATGTCTGAAATTGCAGCCCATAAAATCCACATAGAGTGGGCAGAGGTAAAGGAATTCAAAATAGAGGTAATAGAACTAGTGAATAGGAAGTTTTGTGACATCAGAAATGCCAACAAAAGTACAGTGATAATAAAAAAGGTTATTATCAGAAGAACTTCAGAATTTAAAATGCTGGATGCTATGAAAAACTGTGAGACTCAATCTATATAATGACATATTATGCCAGTATTTGATTTTCTAAGCAGTAACTTTCATTAAGAATGTAATTGCTAAGAATCTTGATAAGTTGACCTTGTTATTTTAAATTGTATCTAACCTTTGCTTAAATTGGATGTCACAGATTTTCTGTTAATTTGGTTACATCAGAGTCATAGTTTTTTTTTTTTGAGTCATAGTTTCTCTAAAACAAAATAACTTTTCAGTTCAGAATAATTAGGTTGTCCTGTAATGTTTGATTATAAAATATCAAATAATTTGCATTTTTAATGTATCATTTTCTTTCAGGTTACAATGTAGGATTTTGGAAGTCCTCCCTCCATCACATCAAAATGGCTTTGCTAATGGACATGTCAGTAGTGTTGATGGAGAAACTATCATCATCAGTGATAGTGATGATTCAGAAACACAAAACAGTTCTTTTCAAAATGGGTAAGTGGTTTTTATTAATTTTAAAATGTAGATCAGATTAGCTAATGATACCCCATTGAAATAATTTTCTGTTTAACCCTTCTCTTTTTCCATTGTAATAATACAGTGTAAAATCCATCCAAGTGATATGGTTCAACAATATGCGTTAGAATTTGCAAAATTGAAAGTATCTAGTTAACTCTAGTCAGCTGCTTAGGAGCAATTGAAGTTCACCTCATTCAGTTACACCTGTACATTCCAATTTAGTTTACTTTGAGAAAATTCATTCTGTACTCTGATTATTATACTTAATCACTTTATGGTGCATATGATAAAGAAACTAACCTTCTGAAGTTCAGTCAGTTGACAGCCTGGGTCAGCTGAGTACTCCTGGAGAAAAATCACACAAGCACATGTAGATTGGCGTTGTCTACAGGTAAATTTAAAATCTCAGCTAAGTCTTCAACTGGTTAAAAGTTTGCATGTTTTAGCTCCACTCCCTCCTCTGTTCTCCACAAGTGCTATTTAAATCTTTATTGCTCTGTTCTGTTCCCTCTCTGCCTTTTAGGCATCTCAAAATCAAAAATGTTTTTTCCGGTATGTCTTGTGTCTTTTTCTTCCCTATTGTCAGTGAACAGTACTATAATATTCTAATAAGACACCTGAGGCCACTTTAATTTTATTTTTTAAATTTATTTATTTATTTATTTATTTATTTATTTATAGCATGGTTGGCACAAAATGTTATATTAGTTTCAGGTTTAAAACAGCGATTCAGGGAATCCATGGGTGACTCAGTGATTTAGTGCCTTCCTTCAGCTCAGGGCTTGATCCTGGAGTCCCAGGATTGAGTCCCACGTCAGGCTCTCTGCGGGGTGCCTCCTTCTCCCTCTGCCTGTGTCTCTGCCTCTCTCTCTCTCTCTGTGTCTCTCATGAATAAATGAATACAAGTCTTTAAAAAAAATAAATAAAAATGAAAAATAAAACAGTGATTCAGGCTTCCTGGCTGGCTCATTCTATAGAGCATATGACTCTTTATCTCAGGGTTGTGAGTTCAAGCCCACATTGGGCATAAAGCTTACTTAAAAAAACCAAAAACAGGGATCCCTGGGTGGCGCAGCGGTTTAGCGCCTGCCTTTGGCCCAGGGCGCGATCCTGGAGACCCGGGATCAAATCCCACGTCGGGCTCCCAGTGCATGGAGCCTGCTTCACCCTCTGCCTGTGTCTCTGCCTCTCTCTCTCTCTCTCACTGTGTGCCTATCATAAATAAATTAAAAAAAATTAATAAAAAATTATAAACAAAAAAACAGTGATTCAGCATCTCTTTATACTTAACACTGTACAACATAGTGATTCAGTTCTTTATACTTATGCTCCCTACAAGTATAGCTACCATCTGTTACAATATCATTGACTATATTTCCTATGCTGTACCTTTGTATTCCTGTTACTTATTCATTCCATAAACAGAAGGCTGTATAGAGTGGGCAGAGGTAAAGGAATTCAAAATAGAGGTAATAGAACTAGTGAATAGGAAGTTTTGTGACATCAGAAATGCCAACAAAAGTACAGTGATAATAAAAAAGGTTATTATCAGAAGAACTTCAGAATTTAAAATGCTGGAGGTTTAAAAACCTTCACCCATTTTTCCCATTCCTCACCCCTCTCCCCTCCATTGACCATCAGTTTGTTTTCTTATCTTAGTTCTAATTCTGCTTTTTGTTTATTTATTCATTTGGTTTGTAGATTCCACATATAAGTGAAATCATACGGTATTTGCCTATCTCTGACTTACTCCACTTAGCATAATTCCCCCTAGGTCTACCCATGTTGTTACAAAACAAGATCCCATCTTTTTTATGGCTGCCTAATATTCCACCGTGTGTGTGTGTGTGTGTGTGTGTGTGTGTGTGTGTGTATTTATTTATATTTTTAATTTCTTGAGGAACCTCCAGACTGTTTTTCATAGTGGCTGTACCAATTAACATTCCTATCAACAGTGTATCAGAGTCCTTTTTTCTCCTTTTTTCTCTACATCCTCACCAACACTTATTTCTTGCCTCTTTGATTTTTGCCATCCTGATAGGTGTAAGGTTCTGATTTGCATTTCCCTGATTATTAGTGATGTTGAGCATTTTTGTTGTTGTTGTTTTAAAGATTTTATTTACTTATTCATGAGAGACACAGAGAGAGAGAAAGAGGCAGAGACACAGGCAGAGGGAGAAGCAGGCCCCACTCAGGGAGCCTGACACGGGACTCGATCCTGGGACCCTAGGATCAGGCCCTGGGCTGAAGGCTTCACTAAACCACTGAGCCACTCAGGCTGCCCTGAGCATTTGTTTTTAAGAAGGCTGCACTTCCATTGTGGAGCTCAGTGTGGGGCTTAAACTCATGACCCTGAGATCAAGACCTGAGCTAAGATAGTCAGATGCTTAACCAACTGAGCCACCTAAAAGCCCCAGATGTTGAGTATTTTTTTAAAGATTTATTTATTTATTTTGAGAGAGAGAGACCAACCATGTGTGCATGAGTGGGGGGAGGGACAAAGGAAGAGGACAGAGAGAATATCAAGCAGATTTCCCTGCCAAGCAGGGAGCCTGACACGGGGCTTGATCCCACCACCCATAAGATCATAACCTGAGCCAAGATCAAGAGTTGGACATCCAGGCACCCCTTGAGCATTTTTTAATGTGTCTGTTTGCCATCTATTAGTCACAGTCATGGTTAAGATCACTAACTTCAATTTAATATTCTAGCTACTTAGGCCTAAGCTTTAGGAAGCAAGGGAGAAAAATTATTAAAATGAGGTTTCTTTTTAATATTATATTTTAATTCCTTTTTTATAGGTGAATCCATATAAGAAGCTGTTTCTGTTGGTCTCTAATAACTACTTCCTTGGAAAGAATCCAGTTATGATTTTATTCTATATAGAGTTTTGTGTAAGCGTTATAGCAAAAATCCCATAAGAATATCTTCACTGAAAAAAAAAAGAATATCTTCACTGATTGGAAAAAATGGTTTTGATTATATTATGCTTTATCTTCAGACATAAATTTCATGACATAGCAAGAAAAAACAAAAAATAATTTTTGTACACAAAAAATAACATTTTTATAGCCTTAATTCCATTAAGATAAAGTCCATAAATGAGTTTCTATGAACAAATAATATATAAGTAAAATAAATATATTTATGCATATATAATTATATACTCTAACTGGTAGTAATCTTTTAAGTGCAGTCTATATTATACTTCACCAACCCTTTAAGTGTATAAAATGATAGTGGCTAATTGCTAAGTTAGCACTAATTCAAAAAATGATTTAAAGATAAAAAATCAGATCTCTTGTTCTTAAACAACTGCTACTGATTCATTAAAACCTGCTTTTCTTTTTCCCTCTTTTCATTTCAAGAAATTCATATCAGTATTGGGAACTCCTATCATATTGCTTTCTGAACACTTGGAATTCTCTCTTTGATACGTTCTCTTGGGACAGTGCTTTTCAAACCACAGGTTATAGCCTCATGTAGGTTGTGAAATTAATGATGAACTTTAATGGAATAGAAAATATTAGACTGCACTCCATATAGTCAGAGTGAATGATTGAGTATATTTCCTGGTTTCTGTGTATACTGGGTCTCAATGTAAAGATCCTTGGTCTGACAACTAGGAACTTATTGCTGTTAAAGGTAAATACTTCAGTTTTATTTGTGTGATTATCTCATACTTCCTTTTTGTGCTGAGTATCTCCCCACCCACTACCTCATGTGTGCTGTATCTAAATCACTTTGACTATATCTGACCCTCATTGCTGAATGCTCCCTTTATCATCCTTTCATATCATTTTCTTCTCAATAATCATTATTTAATCCCCGTACATACGCATTTGCTTTCACAGAGGCAGCTTTTCAAGAATCCAATCACTTGTCTCTCCACTGCCACCACTAGCACCCTAGTCTATACTGCCATCACTTCTCACTTGGTTCATTGCATGTTTGCACTCTTGCCCCACATTCTGGCAGCCAGAGTAACTTCTTTCTGAAGTGTAAGTTAAATCATTATCTCTGCATTATTCAGTATCCTCTGGTGTCTTTTCAGAGTAAAATCCAAACCCTTACTGATGGCCTATAATCTGGCCCTTCTGTTTCCTCTCTTGACTGGATCTTTTTTATTCTTATTTCTTTTGCTTCTTGTGCAAACCATGCCTTACTTCCACCTCAGGGCCTTTTACACATCTTTTCTCTCTTCCTTTAAACTCCTTTCCCTAAGATTTTTCTCATGAATTGCTCCCTCTTTTCTTTTAGATCTCTGCTTAAATGTTAACTTTTTTTAAAGATTTTTTAATTTATTGATTTGAGAGAGAGAGAGAGAGACAGAGGGAGCACAAGCAGGGGCAGAGGCAGACAGAGAGGGAAGCAGGGACACAGACTCCCCACTGAGCTGGGGTCCTGATGGAGGACTCGATCCCAGGACCTGGAGATCATGACCAGAGTTGAAGGCAGATGCTTAGCCATCTAAGCCACCTTAGGCACCACAATTGTTAACTTCTTATCAGGCCTATCTGGTCAGTGTATCAGGACTGTCACTATACAAAATAGAGTACCTCCACCCTGCAGTGTATTCTTCTAATAGCACTTAGCACCTACCCTGTTGTATATTTTTGTTTGCTTACATGTGTCTCCCCACTATATTTCTATTATGTTCACTACTTAATTCTTATTATTTAGTTTTTGGCATGTTGTAGGCTCTTAACTATTTATTGGACAGATAGATGAATACATCCTCAAAGGAGAGATAAGATGAGAAGTTGGTGGAGGCAAGGATTAAATGCATAGCTTCTGCCAGTTCTTAAAACAGAGTAAACTACATTATCTCCACTTTTGCTCTTGGATTACATAGCTATTAAGAAGAAAACTTAAAAGAAAATCCAAGGGCTATTTGTTTACAAATTTATCCTACCTAAACTGGGTACTCTGTGCTTATTTATCTCTAGTTAATTTCCTCACACAGGAAAATTTATTGAATGAATAAAATACCTACCTAACATAAAATAGTGCTTTGTGCTATTTTGGCTAATAGAATGGTGAGGGATTCAGTAACTTATATAAAATCCTAGTTAAACTAAAAATACATTAGATTCTGTTATAGTGTGTTCTTAGAAACTAGATTTCCACTTAAAATCTCACATTTGTAAACAAATTATTAACTGATTTGTATCTTTGCTCTTTTTAGGAAGAAAAAAGATGCAGTTGATCCCTTATTATTCAAGTACAAGGTGCAACCCACTAAAAAAGAATTGTATGAGTGTGCTATTGTTAAAGCAACACAAATCAGGTAAAACTCAGTATCTTATCTATGCTGGTTTAAAAGGGAATGATTATGTTCAATTAAGATTTGCTATAGAACAAACAGTGTTGCATGTGATTGTTCCCTTTTTTAAAATAAATGTACACTTACAGACTGATAAAATGAATCCTAATGGACTCCATGAGCCCTTCGTAACTAACCCCAAAGTGTCTTCACTCTAAAAAATTAAGAAGGATCCTATTTATGAGGTACTTCTCATGAGAGAACTCAATTTTCAATGCTGAGAAGTCTGATGGTACTTAGAAATACGTAATTTGTAATATTTTATTCATTAGACACAAACATCTGATCAGTCTCTTCCCATTCCCTAAGAAAGTTAAGTAGTAACAAATTAGTATCTTCACAAATTCCTGTTTGAGGGGTGCCTGAGTGGCTCAGTCAGTTAAGCATCTGACCCTTGATTTCAACTCAGGTCATGATCTCGGGGTCAAGAGATTGAGCCTTGTATCAGGCTCCATGCTCAGTGTAGAGTCGTGCTTGAGAGTCTTTCTCTCCCTATGCCCCTCCCCTGCTCACACACTCTCATTAAGTAAATAAATCTTTTTTTTTAAATAAATAAATAAATTCCTATTTGAGTCCTAATCAAAAGAGAGGGGTAATGAGTGGTTAATATTTAAAAGTATTCGCTTTAGGTTACACAGATCTATTTTAGGACAGTCCCCTTTTTTGCCTGCTGGGGTTAGGCCCTTAGTCATCTGAAAGTAAGTTGACATTATCAACCAACTATCAACTTGCCACCTAGTAGTCAATCTTGTGTTTCATTTGATATAAAATGATTTTACTTGGGGCACCTGGGTGGCTCACTTGGTTAACTGTCTGCATTTGGCTCAGGTCATGATCCCCAAGGGTCCTGGAATTGAGCCCCACACTGGGCTTCTTTCCCAGCAGGGAGCCTGCTTTTAACTCTCTCCTCTCCCTACCACAACTATTTGTGCTCACTCTTTCTCTCTCTCTCTCAAATAAAATCTTAAAAATAAAATGATTTTACTTATTCTCATATACCTCTTATCCCCCCATATATATATACTCATGAGTCCAAAAGAAAAGTGATAATAAGTGCTGAGTGAATCCTGAGATACTCTAAGGAGATGTGTGTAGTTTTGTGTTTGGTTGGGTTTTGGGGACCCATCATTAATTTAAGATCTTTGGAGCATTCTGCATCTTATTTTATGTTGAAAAACAGTATTCCCAAAATAATGCTCATAGATTATTCACACTTTTTTTGAACTTTTTTTTTAAGTAGGCACCACACCGAGTGGGGCTTGAACTCATAACTGTGAGATCAAGACCTGAGCTGAAATCAGGAGGCAGACACTTAACCAACTAAGCCATGTAGGTGCCCCTAGATTATTCAGATTTTTGAATTTGTTTAATTTATGGGCAAATGAATAGTAGAGACCACCAATTTTTTCCTTATTCATAGTTTTATCTTTTTTTGGCCTTTATTCAAGACACGTTCTTTATATAATTTCCTTTAATTCATTTTTCGATTTACTTTTTTATTTACACTTTTTTTTATTTACACTTTTTTTTTAATTTTTATTTATTTATGATAGTCGGAGAGAGAGAGAGAGAGAGAGAGAGAGAGAGAGAGAGGCAGAGACACAGGCAAAGGGAGAAGCAGGCTCCATGCACCGGGAGCCCGATGTGGGATTCGATCCCGGGTCTCCAGGATCACGCCCTGGGCCAAAGGCAGGCGCCAAACCGCTGCGCCACCCAGAGATCCCTATTTACACTTTTTTTAAAGATTTTATTTATTTATTAATTTGAGTGAGAGAGTGAGTGGGGATTGAGGGGAGCAGAGACAGAGGGACAAGCAGACTCCATGCTGAGCGCAGAGTCCAGCACAGGACTCCCATCTCACAACCCCAAGATCACTATCCCAGCCCAATCAGGAGTCATATGCTTAACTGACTGAGCCACCCAGGTACCCCTTGATTTATACTTTAAATGTAATTCTCCTGGATCTTGGTTACAGTTTTAGTAAGTAATTTCTTTCTTAATGGGAGAGCCAAAGAATGATAAGGTAAGAATGTTATACTTGATAATAGAAAACTTAAATGACTTGCAGCTCTTTGTTAGCATCAACAGATAGTGCTGTTGTATAATGAAGAGATGGTACTATTTCTGTAGAAAGACTTGATATAACAGTAGCACTGACAAGTAGAACTTTCTGCAAAAAATGGAAAGTTATATGTGTGCTGTCCATTATAGTAGCCAGTAGCCACATGTAGCTATTGATCACTTGAAATGTGGCTAGTAATGGTGAGGAACTTAACATTTAATTTTATTAAAAAACCACATGTGGCTAGAAGACGCCATGTAGGACAATACAATTCTTCAGGACTAGTATATTTATTCACTAGTCCACAGTTAATTACCTTCTTATTGCCATCTACTGTATATATAGTACTGGGATATCACAGTAAACCAATCCTTTCTTTCATATAGTCCTTTCTATAAGAAAATATACATTTTTGAGGAGGCTACTACTTTAAGACTATATTGTTTATTCACTCTTAGAAGCTTTTGACTTGGCTTTCTCTTGAAAGGAATACATTGAATTCAATTAAAACATTTAGTTTGTTTCCAGAACTTTTCCAGAGATATTTGGGTGTTGGCGGGGGGGGGGGGGGTGTTTGTTTTTTATTTGATTTTGATGGTGTTTTTTACCATTGTGGTTGCTGTTTTTGATTTTGGGGGCAAGGAAGAATCAAAAATAGCATATTTTTATAATCTTAATTCTAACTCTTTCATTTTAATTCCATGAACTTATTGGCTGCCATGTGAAAGTTAAATACAAAATATTTTGAAACATGTTCAAGAACGTTCGCAATATCCATTTGAATGTTGACTGATTTAGTGTTATGTGATATCTGGTAGTTTACTGATTTTAGTTTTTTAAAGAATTTCAGGGACATCTGGGTGGCTCAGTGGATTAAGCATCTGCCTTCAGCTTGGGTTGTGATCCTAGGGTCCTGGGTTCAAGACCCATGTCAGACTCCCTGCTCAGTGGGGAGTCTACTTCTCTTCTTTTGTTCCCTGCTCCCTGCTTGTGGTGTCTCTCTCTCAAATAAATAAAATCTAAAAAAAAAAAAAAATTTCAATGGTTATATTTTTAGAAAGGATCATCTCATTTTCTAAAATTTGGTTTTACTAAATAGTGTATTTAGTAATAGCAATAAATATACTAACAGTGTATTTAGTGTATTCCTTGAGGTTTGATTTCTAAGTGATTCCTATGCAGCAAATGTGTATGTTTGTAAAGCACATTTATAATAGATCCACTCAAGTTGATCTTATAACATTCAACATAAATACTTCTGTATAAAGTTTCTCATAACTTCTACATAAATACTATTGGAAAATGAAATATCCTTCTTTTCCTAAACTTGAATTTGAGATTGTGGATTTATAGAGATTATGGAGTTTGAAATGAATTCTTTGATACTAACACTTCACTCTTTTTCCTCCTTTTTCCCTGGTAGCCGGAGAAAACACTTATTTTCTCGTGATAAATTAAAGCTTTTTCTGAAGCAACACTGTGAACCACAAGATGGGGTCATTAAAATTAAGGTAATGAGAAGTGAAATTATTTATTGGAAGGAGGAGAAAAAAAACAGAAACCAATACTAAGCAGATGGATTGTATTTTATTCATTATCATTAAGGAGAAAAAATCAAGTTTAGAAATCTCACATTGTGAAATAAATAAGTGGTAAAGCTAAGAGTATTTTTTTTTGACTGAGAAATATTTAACTCCTTTTGGAGAAATACTAAGTAAAACATCAGTAAAATGGGTAGTGAGATGTATGCATGTGTCAAAAGTCAGCTACTAAATGCTTAAGATTTGTGTATTTCATAGTTAATAGATGTTACATCAAAGGAAAAGAAATGAAAATAAAAGGAATATATGAGTTTTATGTGAAAATTACCATTTCAAGTCTCTACAGACCAAGATAGATTATTTAACAAATAAAACTGGGACACCTGGTTAACTTGGGAAAAACGAAGTTAGAACTAACTCAAATGGGGCAGGGAAGGAAATAAAGCAATTATTAATGTTCTGCATGTTGAAGTACTTAGGAAGAGCAAAAGAAAAGAAATTCCAAGGATAAGACTGATTTGACGATATAAGTTTAATGTAGGTTTATAAACATCACAGGGGTGCCTGGGTGGCTCAGTTGGTTAATAAGCATCTGATTCTTGATTTCAGCTGGGGTCATGATCTCAGAGTTGTGAGTCAGCTGGAAGATTATCTCCCTTTGCTGCCCTCTCCCTACATGTGTGCTCTCTCCCTCTCTCCCTCTCCCTCTCTCTGATAAATAAATCTTGAAATAAAAATGAAAACATCATGAATAGATTTCAAGGGCAAGTGCTAGAAGAAAAATACTTCCAGTAAATACAGTGAGGAGCTCAAATCAATTAGAAAAACACAAATATCCCAGTAGAAGAATAAACAAATAGGCATGATCAAAATTCATAGTGGGTGATATATAAAAACTTGAAAACAGAATCATCTGAAATAATTTTGTTAATGTAAGCATATTTATGTTTTTGTCTTGATAAGAGAAAAAAGCTTAAATTGTGCTCACTCTGTAGCTTTGAAAATCACGGATAGCCATGTAAAAAATATGCTTACAAAAAGTTAATGATTCAAATACTTGAGAAGTGGCTAGAACTGTGCTGGCACTGGTAGGCAGTCAGTCAATATGAAATGAGTTGTAGTATGTGTATCATAAATAGCAAGTTGGCTAATTTCCCTAATTTATAAAAATCTTACGTATCAATGAACAAAAACAACCTAATTGGGGAAAAAATGGTAGAAAGCCTCAGCAGTTTTACACCAAGGAAAATAGTCAGTAAACATGAACAGAAGTTCACCTTTATTTAATAAAGAAATGACAAAGTGACAGTAAACATTCTTCTCTTAGAGTATAACAAAAGATTATTAGCAGATATCTAGTGTACTTGCACACACAGAAATAACAAAGTCTTAATACCTGATGTGGGGCAACCCGGTGGCTCAGCAGTTTAGCGCCTTTGGCCCAGGGCATGATCCTGGAGTCCCAGGATCGAGTCCCATGTCGGGCTTCCTGCATGGAGCCTGCTGCTCCCTCTGCCTGTGTCTCTGCCACCCCCCTCCCGCCCGCCCCTCTCTCTCTGTCTCTCATGAATAAATAAATAAAATCTTAAAAAAAAAAAAATACCTGATGTGGTAAGTGTAGTCTGCTATTAAGAGTACTGCAAGAGGGCATCCCTGGTGGCACAGCAGTTTAGCGCCACCTGCAGCCCAGGGTGTGATCCTGGAGACCCTGGATGGAGTCCCACGTCCAGCTCTCTGCATGGAGCCTGCTTCTCCCTCTGCCTGTGTCTCTGCTTCTCATTCTCTCTCTGTATCTCTATGAATAAATAAATAAAATCTTTAAAAAAAAAGTACTGTAAGAACACAAAGATTTTTTTTAAGAACACAAAGATGTATTTGTTTATTGTGTATTATGGATGTATGAATGAGGAACATTGGCAATTAATGTATTAAAAACTATTTTGACCTTTTGTGAGCATATATGTTTGAGAAGAAACCACTCATATGCTTTATATTCATATTTAAAGGGCAATCTGTATATTCAGGTGTGATTTACGTGGGATAGTCAACTACCATCTTAATAGACTTTAATGTAAAATCTTAATAGATTCTTGATTTATTATGATAGCCAGAACTGATTGAATTTTAAATGTTAAAAGCTATATTCTACCAAGATTACGATTATTACACAAAATTTAATTCCCAGTTGAAATATTTCTGTTTTAACAATTTAAATTTTTGTATCATGGGCAGCCCAGATGGCTCAGCAGTTTAGCACCTGCCTTTGGCCCAGGGCATGATCCTGGAGACCTGGGATCAAGTCCCACGTCGGGCTCCCTGTTTGGAGCCTGCTTCTCCCTCTGCCTGTGTCTCTGCCTCTCTCTCTCTGTCTCCCATGAATAAATAGATAAAATCTTTAAAATAAATAAATTTTTGTATCACTATTTTCTTAAACATTTTCTGAAAAATATTTCTGTAAGTGGCATGTTTTCTTCAAGAGAAAGAATAGTGATCTTGGCTATTAGACCAAAAAAATCTTCAGAATTGCTAGCCAAAAATAAAAAGTTTTGAGTTGGACATGGATGCAAGGTGAATAAGTTCTGAAACTTTTAGATCTAGCAATTTTCCTAACATCACACAACTTCTGGTAAAAATGAGATTGACTTCTCTGAACTTAAAATTCTAAATTGAAACTTGATAAGAATTTATCAGCATTTCTCCTTTGCCAGATCAACTTTAAAATTTGATACATAAAGCCTTTTTTGAAAAAATAAGTTTTATTACCCCCAATTAGGGGGAAAAATCTAAATGTTCCACAATTAGGAAATGATTGAGAAAAATTTATTGGGTTAATACAGTAGATTTGTAACGTTAAATATGTCGATTACTTACTTACATAGAAAATTCTGTACAAAATTAGTCAAAAGCAATGCAAACCAAAAAAGATTATAAACATAATTTTGAAATAGTTTTAGAATTTAAGAAACTCTTGAAACATTCTTGCATATTTTATGGGGGGGGAAATCCTTTGAATTGAATCGTGATTTTCTTTCTGGTAAAGCTGACTGATAATAAATCAAGTAAACCAAAAAAATAAAAAATAAAATAAACCAGCTAAAATGTATAACCCTGGATAAAGAAGAGATGGTGTTGTATCACACACACAATGGAATATTACTCAGCTATCAGAAAGAATGAAATCTTGCAATTTGAAACAACACAGAGGGAACTAGAGGTTATTATGCTAAGCTTAGAGGAAGACAAATACATGATTTCACTCATGTGGAATTTAAGAAATAGATGAACATGGGGAAGGGAAGGAAAAATAAAATGAGAACAGAGAGGGCAAATCATAAAGGACTCTAACTCTTGGAAACAAACAGGGTTGCTGTAGGGGAGGGGGGCTAGGGATGGAGTAGTTGAGAGATGGGCATTACAGAGGGCATTTGATGTAATGAGCACTGGGTGTTACATGCAACCGATGAATCAGTAAATTCTACCCCTAAAACTTAAAAAAAAAAAAATAGGGAGAGAGAATTTAAAGATGTGTGTTACTGTATATTAACACATGACATTCTAATGTTTAGAATGTTCCACTGTTTAACAGCAGTCATATGACATTTTAGAGCGTATCTCTATAAGGCTTCCAAATGGTGTTATTACTGTACCCTATGTCTTTTTTTTGTTTTTATGAAGGCATCATCTCTTTCAACATATAAAATAGCAGAACAAGATTTTTCTTACTTCTTCCCTGATGATCCACCCACATTTATCTTCACTCCTACTAATAGAAGAAGAGGGAGACCTCCCAAACGAGTATCTATTAGTCAGGTAAGTAGAGAACGGATAAAAGCTGCATTGTAGCTCTTAATAAAACTGTTGATGGGATACCTGAGTGGCTCAGTGGTTGAGTATCTGTCTTTGGCTCAGGGTGTGATCCCAGAGTCCCAGGATCGAGTCCCACATTGGGCTTTCTGCATGGAGCCTGCTTCTCCTCCCTCTTCCTATGTCTCTGCCTCTCTCTCTCTCTCTCTCTCTCCCTGTCTTTCATGAATAAGTAAAATCTTAAAAAAAAAGAAAAAGAAACTGTTGAAAATCACAAGCAGTGTTTGGTTCCTCTCACCCACATAGCCTTAGGAAGGAACACATTTCTTTGTGTACAATGTGTGTACTGTATGTTGATAACTGCTTAGCAGTGAGGCTTGTGGAAGTTTTAAGTGTGAATTGGACATACCTTTAATGCCACAGGGATTTTATACCAAAGTGGAAGCAAGCATATAAGCAGTTACCGAAACATAAAGCTGGAAGAAGCGCAGGGAATAAATTATGGGATTGAAACATGAAGAGCATTTAAAAGATAAAAGATAGTAATAATATTATACTAAGCAGGTTACAGACCATTATTCTCACAAGAAGTACAGTAAAAAAATCTTTTGACATTATTTAAATTGACCATAAAAATGTTTTTGACATAAGCCTCTTTTATAGTTGATGTCTACACCATTTAGTTTTATAAGGTACCTTGGAAATTTTGTTTTGTTTTGTTTTTCTAATGCATATTTTTAAGATTCTCCTTGTAGATCACTGGTTGTGTTTCCTGGGAGCTTTCTGTGCTAATTTGCAGAGCTATAGAACTAACTCATATTCTGTATGTTGCTATGATTAAGGTTATCAAAAGTTCGATTATGCTTAGAAATAGAACCTTATTGTACTATAAAGAAAGTATACTTGATGAAAGTTTTAAAACTTTTATTTTTAAAAAAAAAAAAAAGGGATCCCTGGGTGGCGCAGCGGTTTGGCGCCTGTCTTTGGCCCAGGGCGCGATACACTCATATTCTGTATGTTGCTATGATTAAGGTTATCAAAAGTTCGATTATGCTTAGAAATAGAACCTTATTGTACTATAAAGAAAGTATACTTGATGAAAGTTTTAAAACTTTTATTTTAAAAAAAAAAAAAAAGGGATCCCTGGGTGGCGCAGCGGTTTGGCGCCTGTCTTTGGCCCAGGGCGCGATCCTGGAGACCCGGGATCAAATCCCACGTCGGGCTCCCAGTGCATGGAGCCTGCTTCTGCCTCTGCCTGTGTCTCTGCCTCTCTCTCTCTGTGTGACTATCATAAATAAATAAATAAACAAACAAACAAACAAACAAACTTTTATTATGGGAACCCCGGGTGGCTCAACGGTTTAGCACCGCCTTCAGCCCAGGGCCTGATCCTGGAGACCCGAGATTGAGTCCCACATCGAGCTCCCTGCATGGAGCCCGCTTCTCCCTCTGCCTGTGTCTCTGCCTTTCTCTCTCTCTCTCTCTCTCTCTCTCTCTCTCTCTCTCTCTCTCCCTGTGTGTCTCTCATAAATAAAATCTTTTAAAGAAATAAAGATTAATAAATAGAACTTTTATTAAGAACAAGCAGACCATCAGTTTGTAAAAGTTTCTCCCTTTGTTTTTTTAGGAGGACAGCGTTGCTAATAAACAGACTATTGCAAGTTATAGGAACAAAGCTACTAAAGAAAAAGACAAACTTTTGAAACAAGAAGAAATGAAGTCACTGGGTAAGTTTTAATATTCTCTCCAAGAACTGTTTAGGTAGAGAAAAGAATTTTTCTGTGTTTGGTGGAGGGTATTTCTGAAATGGCATATTTCTGTTATTTGGGGTTCTTTTTTTAAGCATAGTTTTCTCCCTGCATCTATAGACTTTTATGATAAATGAGATGTGCGTTCATCTCTTAAGAGAGTCTGCATTTCTAACAAGGTGATACTTGTCTTAGGGCCACACTTAGAGTAGCACGACTTTGAAAGGCAGGTATATGTTCCAGTGCAGTAGTTTATCTTAAACCCAGTCAACCTGCTTTCCCATTTTAATCACCTGCTGGCTCCCTCCAGCAATTTACAACCCCTGTGACTCACCTGATCACATTTAACCATTATTTCAGGGATTCTTTTGTTACCTTAAAAAATGTGTTACTTTCCGTCTGTGAATAGTTCTAAGTTTGACCTTCTCCACAGCTTTTGAAAAGGCTAAATTAAAAAGAGAAAAAGCAGATGCCCTAGAAGCAAAGAAAAAAGAAAAAGAAGATAAAGAGAAAAAGAAAGAAGAATTGAAGAAAATTGTTGAAGAAGAGAGACTGAAGAAGAAAGAGGAAAAAGAGAGACTTAAAATAGAAAGAGAAAAGGTATTCATTCAAGTATATTAGCTATGCTCTCTATATAATAGTGTTTTGCATATTTAAATTCATGGTTAATTTTCTTTTTTTTAATTCATGGTTAATTTTCAAATGCTTTTTACCACTTTTTTTTATATTTCTAGTTGTACATAGAGTGCTGATAAAGTTACTGGTTTAGCTTTCTTTTGCTTTGGAAAATTTAATGAATAATTTAGAGTTCAATGTATATATACACATGCCTTTATACCCAAAACCTCTTAAGTACAATTCTTTCTCTTTTTTAAAGATTTTATTTGGGATGCCTGGGTGGCTCAGTGGTTGAGAGTCTGCCTTCGGCTCAGGGCATGATCCTGAGCGTGGGGATAGTCCCACATCGGGCTCCCTGCAGGGATCTTGCTTCTCCCTCTGCCTATGTCTCTGTCTCTCTCTCTCTCTCTCTCTCTCTCTCTCTCTGTCTCTCATGAATAAATAAATAGTCTTTTTTTTTAAAGATTTTATTTATTTATTTGAGAGAGAGCACAAGTGAGAAAGAGGAAGAGAGCACAAGCAAGAGGAGGCAGAGGGGCAGAGAGAGAAGGAGAAACAGAGTCCCCACTGAGCAGGGAGCCCAACATAAGGCTCAATCCCAGGACCCTGGGATCATGAGCTGCAGGCAGCCACTTAACCTCCTGAGCCACCCAGGTGCCCCTTAATACAATTCTAAAGTCCATTTTCTTCATTATTTAGACTTCCAAATTTTTGGAAGATGATATCCATAAAACTTGCAAAGTAAAATACATAATTAGAAAAATACAATAAAATCTACAAATATCAAGAATATTAGTGTTATTCTCCTTGAAGAACAAAGTATCTGTAAAAATAGATTTTTCAATAAATCTTTTATTAAAATCTTTAGTGGTATATATTCCTTAGAGAATTCTGTGGCTGGTTTTCTCCTGAGTCAGTAAGTGTCATTCATTTTCTAGGATATTCACAGATAGCCCTAGCTGATCTTATTACACCCTGTGCACATTTAAATTGCCTCTAGTTTCTTGAGCTATTTCAAATAGGCCATTGGAATGGATGTGGAGGTATATGTACACTCAAGAAAATGTAGAGGACAAGAAAACCACTTGTAAACTAAATGTGGTTATATTTAGGGATAGCATTTAAAATTTTTTTTTTTATTTATTTGAGAGAGGGGATGGGCAGAGGGAGAGGGAGAGAGAATTTCAAGCAGATTCCCTGTTGTGCATGGAGCCTGATAATGGGGCTCTTTTCCCAAGACCCTGAGATCATAACCTGAGCCAAAAACCAACAGTCAGATGGTTAACAGGCTGAGCCACCCAGGTGCCCCTAGAAATAGCATTTTTTAACACTTGAATTTATTTCTAATCTTTATTCTGGGCCTTAAAAAAGATGCAGCATCTGTAATTTTGTAATTTTTCTGTTTTGTTTAATGTTGAACTATTTCTTCCTGGTATTAAGTAATAAGTAAGGTGGGATTTTTAGTAACTGCATGATAGTTAATCAGATAAGTACAGGTAAGTGCTTTAAAATTTTTTGCTCATAAAGAAAATAATAAAATAAAATAAAATAAAATAAAATAAAATAAAATAAAATAAAATTTTTTGCTCATCAATAATGGTACCCTATTCAAATTTATAAATTAAAAGTCTTTACTGTTTTTGGATTATGTCCCTGGATAAATCATAGAAGTAGAATAATAAGTCAAAGGGTAAAGATACTTAACAATTTTTCTATACACATACATAGATATGTGTTTGCTAAACATGCTTATTTTACACCCTTAGCAATAGTGAATGAGAATACCCATTTATGGGGTGTAGGGGGAAGACTTACTATAGCAGACTACTTAAAGCACAATTAGTAAGTTCTGTAACTATCTCTAGTCGTTTTATGTTGAAAATTTGATAAGTGCACATCTGTTACCTCCAGTGGTCCTGAATTTCAAAGGAAGAGCATAATATTAACATGTTACATATCTGTTGGAAAATAATTATAAAATATAATATAAAATAAAATATTTTATTTGCACTCTGCTTTATTGGAGATTTTTTAGGGTCATTATTTATCTTCCAGTGTAAAATACCAGAACCAAAAAGTAAGGGTATCAAAAGACCAAATGAGCAAGACTGATGACCTGGATTAAAAGAAAGAAAAAAAAAATCTACAAACTGTGTTCTGATATTGCTTTTACTTACCCATCCCTCTGTCCTTAGGCTATTAGGCTTAAATGAATCTTGAAAATAACTAGGTTACAAATATGGGGGGAGGTTTTATTTTAGGTACTCTAATAATTTGTTACCTTACTTTGTCAAGATTCAATTGATTTGAAGTAGGAGAAGGGCCCCTATAGGCAGTCAGATTGAATTAATATTTATCCAGGGGCTACTCTGTGTGAGACATCTTCCATCTTTGTAGCAATTGTGTTAGGCAGGCATTGTTTTGATCAGTGGTTCTAACACTTTACCATGCATCAGAATCACCAGAAAGACTTATTAAAACATCAACTGCTGGGTCTCAACCCGAGTTCCTTGTTGAGTAGGTCTGGTTTAGGGCCCAAATATTTGTAATTTTTACAAGTTTCTAGATGATGCTGATGCTGCCTTATAAAATTCTTATACAAATTTTTATTAACCCTTTGTTTTAGGAAAGAGAAAAATTACGTGAAGAAAAGCGAAAATATATGGAATACTTAAAACAGTGGAGTAAACCTAGAGAAGATATGGAATGTGATGATCTTAAGGTATAAGTATGTTATGTGATATTTCACACCCATACTCTATGTGCTGTGTGGCTTTGCTGGTGAAATTTTTCTTTCTTTTTAATAGTGGCTTCTTCATGTTTAAGAAGAAATAGCTAATTAACCAAATGCAGTATTTAAGAGTTCTGAAGCGACACTGTTAGTAGTTTATAACAAACTTTGATAATAATTCTCATTCTGCAGATATAATTGGTCATTTGTATGATCGCTGATAATCCAGTATTATCATTTCATCTCAGTTCATAAGGAATCTCTTCTAAATTTAGTAGATGGTAGATTAATTCTATTCCATATCCTAAGGAGATCCTGCTTTAAAGTTAATATTGATGCAGCTAATGCCTTGATCTCAGAATCTAGGTTAAAAGTCCCTCTTCATTAGAAGTATTGTCAGAAATACACATCAGCCCAAAGCTGTTCTTAGTTTGGTAAAGAAAAAAGTCCCTACAGACTGTGCTTTAGTAAAGCTGGCATAAGGCCAAGGCAACCATAATCTTAAAAGTTCCAAAGTTGATTGTGATAAATATCCAGGGTTGAGAATCACTAGTCTACCTGAAATAAATCTTACTCAGTAAAAAGTATATATCTACCTTTTACAGTTTTCTGTACTTGACTTAAATAGTTATATAAATTGTTTAATCTTCCAGGAACTTCCAGAACCAACTCCAGTGAAGACTAGACTACCTCCTGAAATCTTTGGTGATGCTCTGATGGTTTTGGAGTTTCTTAATGCTTTTGGGGAACTTTTTGATCTTCAAGATGAGTTTCCTGAGGGAGTAACCCTAGGCAAGTGCTATTGCTATGTTATAGTTCACCCTAAAATTAGTAGCTTAAAATAATAAATCATTATCTCTCAAAGTTAGAGAGATAGAGTCACTGGAACTAGCCGTCCAGCCCTTTCTTGAAGTCTCTCATGTGGTTACAGAAAGTGGCTGGGACTGGAGTTATCTGAAGGCTTACCTGACTGGGTGGGTGTTCAAGATAACTTCCTCATACAAATGCCTGGTGCATCAGTGCTCCTACATATGGCATCCCACTCCATCAGGATAGCATATACTACTTATGTGGTATCTAAGGGCTCCAAAAAGAAGAGGACAGAAACTGCCAGTCTTCTTAAAGGCTAGGCTTGGAACTGCAAACCTTATTTCTGTCATATTCCATTGGTCAGGCCTGCTGGGATTTAAGGGAATGAAGGAATCGATTCCTCTTCTCGAAGGTGTCATGGCTTATGAAAGTTCAGGGGAGAAAGGAGTTGACATCAGCTGCATTTAGAGACAAGTTACTGCCTACCTTTAATTTGTGATTCTGTATTGCCTCTGTACTTTTACTTTTATAAACATAAGAACTACATTGAGGAGGGCTTTGAATCTCATTTTGGATTTTTAATTGTCAAATAGCTAGATAATTTTCTTAAAATCAAAATAAAGCCCTCAAAGACAGAATTATAATGCCATTGTTATTTTAATAAAAGTATATTCTTCAGGAGGGCTTTTACATTCCCTCAGTTTCTCTTTATGAGCAGAGTGAGGCATGAATCATTGTGCCTTACAGACCAAGGTCTAAACAATGCTGGTTTAGGTAAGATAAATTAGATAAGAAACATTTATGACTTGGATACAATATTAAGATTACACCTAATACTAATGATTACCTCTCCTTTGCACTACTTGGTAAACAGTAATGTCCCACATAGCTCTTGAGAACAGTGGGACAATAACAAATCTTTTTTGAGTTGTTATTCAAATTAGAATAAAATGATGATTTTTAATATGTGCTTTAATTTGCACCTGAAATTTAAACTTAAAATGAAATATTGTATTGATCCGAGGAGGCTAATTTTGCTTTTCTTGAATACTACGTAGTGATTTTGGCTTATGATTTTATTATATTTCATTGTAATCATTATAATTTTTTTTTATTTTGCCTTGGATAATACTCTACTTTGATAAATAGACACTTAAAAAAATCATTACACAGGCTGTTGTTTGATTAAAATGTTTATTATTCCAATGGAGTTGTTTTTTTCAGTACATGAACGGAACTTTAAATTCATTTTAAACATTTTATTCACAGAAGTGTTAGAGGAAGCTCTTGTAGGAAATGACAGTGAAGGCCCACTATGTGAATTGCTTTTTTTCTTCCTGACTGCCATCTTCCAGGCGATAGCTGAAGAAGAAGAGGAAGTAGCCAAAGAGCAAATAACGGATGCTGACACCAAAGGTCAGAATTCACTATTATTGCTGATTGATAGTAGCTTTGTAGCTTTGGAACTGATTTTTGAAGGTTATTTTAAAATTTACCTTGATTTTACAGTTACAAAATACAACTGTTCATGTTCCCCAATTCTTGAGTCATATATGAACAATACATTATCAGTTTCATAAAAACTAATGTATCCTGTTTCTGATGACCTTAAAATATCTACTCTCATCCCACAATCTATCTTGCTTTTCATTCCTTTAGATTTCCCCTATGATTTAGGAGCATTACAGATGTCATTGACCAGCATCTCTGATTCCAAGAGATTCTTCTAAATGGCAATGATTTTTTTTTTTTGCCTCCACCTAGGAAATACTTTAATTATTGTTATCATTACTTTAAATTGAAAATGCTATTGCTGATTTCATTTGAGATGTGACAGTTTGTAGATAAGAGTCATGTAAAATTTAATTTTTTTATTTCACCAACAGTTTGAACTAGAAATTTTGCTGTTTAAATTCTATGCACTTAAATATCTAAAGTCAGTGTATGGCACATATTAATGTAGGACTAATTCTTGGAGAAACCCTTTCTTATTTTTAAAACAGAGTATGATCACTATTTTGTTTAGAACTTACCTTAACCAGAGGAATTGTTAAGCATTTGTATTAAGAGATTGATTTGCTTCCTGAATCATACTCTCTGTGAACTTTGCCACATAAGAGATTTAGGATCTGAAGCCTTTTTAAACAGTACTTAAGTGTATTTGCATAAAAATTCACAATAAGAAATAAGTTTTGGGAGACATTTTGTTAGCATTCTCTATACAAAAAGATGGGACATTGTTGCATTCAGATAGTATTGTTGACCTTAGATAACTTGAGCTTGTATTTTTATGCCTGGTTCCTGAAGCAACAGGATGATGATAAATATGCATCTGATGTTGATTATCTTTTTATTTTACAGCCTGAGTTCAAACAAAATATATTCTCTAACTTGAGTGCTAACCACCATAGGTCCCTTATCAAGGTCATTTTAATAGTGTTGTCCCTTATATCATCTCAGATGACTTAGTCCATAAAATGAGACTGAACTAAAGGGAAATTAGAAGGGCAAACCATTGATAAAAGTCTAAAGATTTTCTGAGATAACAAGTACCAGCACTAAAAAAGAAAATGTAGCAGATACTCATTCTTTTAGCCATTAAGTTCTTTTAATGACCAGTAACATCACAGGGTTATGGACCAAGTTCTGACCATAATATAAGGTATAAATTTGTATTTAATTCAGGATTTGAGGCGGACAAATTTTGTAGTTTTGTAATGACAAAAAGTGGGGTGACAAGGAAATTATGTTGGAAAATCAGATAGCATAAAGAAAAAATATATGTGACTACTGGCGTTTGTATTGCCATTGTAAGTTCCTTTCATGATTTGTTTGATCTGTAATTTTTACAGCTCTAATCCTGTATAGGACTATCTATACATACTAATACAAGGTCTACCTCTGAATAAGTATTGGTCATTAAATAGAGGTTTTAGTGTTCCTTTTAAAGCTATTTATTTAAATGTTAGGGAGAGGAAAAAATATGTTTTGGAATTTTTCCACCCTTTTTCACTTCCCTGGTGTATTGGCTGCATTTTACAGTTATTTCAGTTATAGTAGGGACCCTAGGCTATTCTCCCAAGCATTTTCCTCATGTTTTCCTATCGCCGTAACAAAAAAGCTTTGCCACAATCCTTTCTGAAAGCAACAGATGGGGACGCCTGGGTGGCTCAGCGGTTGAGCATCTGCCTTTGGCCCAGGGTATGATCCTAGAGTCCTGGGATCAAGTCCACATCAGGCTCCCTGCATAGAGCCTGCTTCTCCCTCTGCCTGTGTCTCTCCCTCTCTCTCTCATATGAATAAATAAAATCTTTTAAAAAAATAAATAAATAAAAAAGCAACAGATGTGAAACACTATATATGCAATATTTCATTTACCATCCTTGTATAAATAGGTATAATAGATTGGTAGATTATTATTAATTATTTTCTGCTTTTAACAAAAACTTTGACTTAAGGAGTAAGTAACTTGCCCAAAGACACATGGCTAATAAAGTGATGGGGGATACAGACTCAGCCAGTCTGCTCTGGAGCCTCATAATGGCTATGCTATATTGCCTCATAATATGGCAAAGATGTTGAAAATTTGAATATTTGTTTCCCTAGCCTTGCCTATAAAATTATCTGTCTTCGAGAAGATCTGAATTGTTTGGCCTTTGATCTCCCTTTTTTTGTATCAAATCTTGGAAATTAATCTTACATCATGAGCTTAAAAGACCTTCAAAGTATAAGAGGAAGAGCATCCTCCTTAAATAACATAGTTTTGTGTATTTACTGAAATCTCATTGTTTAGTGTTAGAATTGTAGATTCTAGATTACTATGATGATAAATGAAACTTTCAGATAATCATAACCTATAGTTCAGCTGTACAGATGACCCTTGAAGAACACAGGGGTTAGGAATGCCAGCCGTCCCCACTCCCAACCAAAAATCCACGGGTAACTTTTGACTCTCCCAAAACTTAATTGCTGGCAGCCTTAATGATAATACAAACAGTTAACATACATTCTATATGTTATATGTATTATATGGTTTATTCTTACAATAAAGGAAGCTAGAGAAAAAATGGTGTGGAGAAAATACATTTACAGTACTCTACGTAAAACTGCTTATAAGTGGTCCCACAGAGTTCAAACACATGTTATTCAAGGGTCAAATGTATTTTCTTGGTATAATGTATCGAAGTAACTGTTTCTAAGCAAATCCTAGAGTAATAATGCAGTTTTGTGAGAGTGCCATTTTTGTAGATAATTGAATTAAAGAATACATATTTCAATATGCTAGTTTAACACAATTAAAAGTAAACTGTCATATTGTTGGTTGTCCATTTCCTAAGGCCTTTGTAACTTTGTCTTAGGAAATTAAAACTTACTGCAGATAACATAGGTTAAATGTGGTGAAGAGTGCCAGTCCACTTTTATAGCTCTGTAACTAAGACTGTTGTTAATTTTAGAGTGCCTATTAATTTTGTTTGGCTTTCCATGTAAAATGAAAATCGAGGAAGTTTTAGTTCTAGTATTTCCTTGGTAAGGAAGAACATAATGTCTGTCATTTAAACTGGATTCGTGGCCTGGTAGGGATAACTTCTGCATATAATGCAGTGTTTAGTCAGATAACTTCTCCTTTGTGGTAGTGTTCTTTCTTTAACCGCCATGAAATTGTCATTGGTTGTAATCAGACATGATCCCAGAACTGCCTTTTTCCTTTTAGTAAAGGACAGTAGTTCTGTTCTCTGAGGTTCATTTTGTCAGCTTGTGAACTTTCAGAAGGGAAACATAGTGGAAGGTTAAGGAACCACGGAACCAGTTTAGCCCAGTGATTTTCCAGCTCTAATCCATGGAATGCTGTGACTTGTACAGGGATTCCTCAGTGCCACTTGCAGGAAAGTTGGCAAGATGATTGGGCAGGATTATCATCTCCATATCCCACTGAACAAGGGAACTTTTATCTCTTTTGTATTGTACTCCCAAAAAATATTTGAAGAATTTAAAATACTGATCTAGACTCACTCCTTTAAGAAAAATGAAGCCAATTAAGTCGACTTGTCTAAAGACAACACAACTAAGAACTAAGGGACTGGCAGAGCTAAGACTAGGGTATGTATTATCTGACTCAATGTGAAGTTACACCCACTGTGCTATAACAAGAGTTTTTTGTAAGCTTGAAGTTTTGTAGGCTTAGTTTTTTTTTTTTATCATTTGTGTATTATAATTAGGAATAATTGTATATGCTAATTCTTTAAATACATTTGTGCCAGTAGATTTATTCTGTAGTTCTGTTTGTAAGCTAGGCATGATTTTCAGAGTTAAAGCAATTAACTTAGAAAATACAGGGAAATCTTCCTGTTGTTTCTAGGATTGGAGAGTCTTCAAAATAAAAACAGGAACTTTAAATGAAGAGGATAAATCAGTGGTTAGAAGACAGCAGTGCTATCATTGTTTTAGTTCTTTGTGCTGGTTTTCTGATTATAACCCATATTTTGTTATGATTCGATCTTAAAATATTTTTAAAAGATTGGAGATCTTCAAATACACTCTGGTTTTGAAAGTAGACTTTTCTAAAGTTATATTGAGTGAGGAGATTTGTTTTTAATTCTAAAGGGCATTTTACTATTTTTTTGGAATGTATATGTGCATCTTGATAACTTGGGAATTATCTTCTATGTTAACTAAGGAATAGTTAGTACATGAGTGTAAGTACATGCCCTTAATTCTAAAGGGCATTTTACTATTTTTTTGGAATGTATATGTGCATCTTGATAACTTGGGAATTATCTTCTATGTTAACTAAGGAATAGTTAGTACATGAGTGTAGTACATGTCTTAGGACTTACAGTTCTAGGTGGACACTAGGCAGGATGTGAATGATGCTTGTTGTACCTAGTGTTGGTTCTTTTGAGGCTCCTGAATATTAAGCTGTTTGCTGTTCCTTTCATCATTTTAAAAAGGCATTATTCCCAAATATTCCAGCTTTGATTTGCACTAGAATAAAGTGTTTATTTCCTTAAAGATTTAACAGAGGCTTTGGATGAAGATGCAGACCCCACAAAATCTGCACTGTCTGCAGTTGCATCTTTGGCAGCTGCATGGCCGCAGTTGCACCAGGGTATGTGTGGGTTTTTTTTTTTTATTGGCTTTTTATTTTTAATTTTATAAAGGTACATTTTACATTGTTGAGAATCTATTGCTTATGTTCTAAATGACTATTTCATTTCTTAACAACTATAGGCTGCAGTTTGAAAAGCTTGGATCTTGATAGCTGCACTCTTTCTGAAATCCTCAGACTGCACATCTTAGCTTCAGGGGCTGATGTAACATCAGCAAATGCAAAGTATAGATACCAAAAGCGAGGAGGATTTGATGCAACAGATGATGCCTGTATGGAGCTTCGTTTGAGCAATCCCAGTCTAGTGAAGAAATTGGCAAGCACTTCAGTGTATGATTTGACACCAGGTAAACTTTGCAAGTTGGAATTTGTATAACCTGCCCACTTCCTCCCCTCTTCTATCTCTTTAGCCCAGAAAACTAGGTACTGATGAGAAGTGTTAGATAATATCAGTTTTAATTATTTTTTTCTAAGATTTTTATTTATTTATTTGAGAGAAAGTACAAGCAAGGAAAAGGGCAAAAGGAGAGAGAGGAAGCAGGCTCTCCGCTGAGCAGGGAGCCCAGTTTGAGGCTTGATCCAGGACTCTGGAATCATGATCCAAGCTAAAGGCAGATGCTTGACAAACTGAGCCACCCAGGCACCCTGATAGCAGTTTTAATTAAAAGAGAACGAGAACAGTCCTTAAAAAACATTGTTGGAATACAATTAGTGACCCAAATGGAGACTACTGTTGTTAATTCGTATTAGCTTTAACTCTTTCTGATTTTTCTGTTCTTTTTCATTTGGATTTTCTATTACTTTAAAAATTTGTGGTTTATCTACTAAAGTGAGAATTAGCTAGCTTTCACTTTTATTCGTCAGTATATCAGAAATTTAGTCTGTAGCTGCTAAATTCTAACATTTACTTGAATAAAATTTGAGATATGAGAAATGGTATATAAAGTTAAGATGTAGGGGACCGCCTAGGTGGCTCAGCTGTTGAGCGTCTGCCTTCGGCTCAGGGTCTGGTCCCATCGTCCAGGATCAAGTCCTGTGTCGGGCTCCTTCTGGGGAGCCTGCTTCTCCCTCTGCTTGTGTCTGTCTCTCATGAATGAATAAATTTAAAATTCTTTAAAAAAAAGTTAAGAAGTTATTTTTCACTTCCATTTTTTTTAAGATTATTTATTCATGAGAGACACACATAGAGAGAGAGACAGAGACACAGACAGAGGGAGAAGCAGGCTCCTTGCAGGGAGCGTGATGCGGGACTCAATTCCCAGACCCAGGAACACACCCTGAGCCTAAGGCAGACGCTCAACCACAGAGCCACCCAGCCATCCCTTTCACTTCCTTTTTTAAATAAAAAAATTACAGTGCACAAATATGTAAAGCTTAATTTAATATGCTTATTTAAGAGAACATGTAATAAAAGTAGAGTGCCTTCATTCCTAAGATTTATATAGGTTTTATAATTTATAGTAGTGTTTTTGTGCAGTATTTTCAGGGAGTGATTTGCCTATTGCCATTTTTTAATTTCATATGGTAATAACTTAGTTTTTATTTGAACTTCCTAAGTGAGCCTAAAAATTAAAACTTGAAAAAAAATTCTGTCATTAGAGAATTTTTCATGTCTATTTAACTGGTCTATATGGTACTTATTAGTATTTAAAATGCCTTGTATATCACATATCTGTTAATTTGGATTCAGAGGTGCTTTTTTCTGAAGACATGCCATTAGCGTGTTTGATCTTGAGGTTTTTCCTATTCTTTATTAAGCATTTTCACATTAAGCCACAAATTAAGATTTTTCAAACAATTCTTTTTTATCCTTGATGATACAGAAGTTATTTACCAATTTTTGACAGGAGAAAAAATGAAGATACTTCATGCTCTCTGTGGAAAACTACTGACCCTAGTTTCTACTAGGGATTTCATTGAAGATTATGTTGATATATTACGACAAGCAAAGCAAGAATTCCGGGAGTTAAAAGCAGAACAACATCGGAAAGAGAGGGAAGAAGCAGCTGCTAGGTAAGAGATAATTATAGTCAGTTGTGCTAATGAAGGCTGTTTATTTCTTTGCATCTAAAATGATATTTCACATTGGGCTGTAATGTGATACTGGCTCACATTGATGTGTGATAGCTTAACTAAGAGATTATGAATGAATTACTACATTATGATTTTGTGATAACATTTAAAGCACCTTCCATAATTTTTTTTATTAAAGGCAAGGTACTAAAAGTTAAAAGTATCTTCCATCAAATAGACTAATATTTTATGTTAACTTTCAGAATCCGTAAAAGGAAGGAAGAAAAACTGAAGGAACAAGAACAGAAAATGAAAGAGAAACAAGAAAAACTGAAGGAAGATGAACAAAGAAATTCAGCTGCAGATATATCTGTTGGGTATGGTTTGAATTACAGTGCTCACCAGACTTTATACAAAGAATAAAAATCAGGGGCACCTGGGTGGCATGGTGGTTGAGCATCTGCCTCTGGCTCAGGTCGTGATCCCCAGGGTCCTGGGATCAAGTTGCATCAGGCATTCTCCCTCTGTCTAGGTCTGAAATGCTGAAGTTTTAAAAACTAGTTTTCTAGTTTTTTATTTATAGGTACATAATAATTATACCAGTAGGCCTATGAAATTTACATATAGGGAGTCCTCAGGTATACATGTGTTATGTTAAAAAAATACTTTCAGGGAATCTAGAACTCATTTTCTCATAGAATTAATGTCATAAATGATAATTGCCCAGAAAACCTTTCAATAGTCTATTTTAAACCAGTAATACATTTCTAGCATTACTAGTGGTATCTCCCCGCTCCACCACCACCTATCACTTTTGTACACTGTGTTTCACAAAACTCCTCTGAGTTTATTGAGGAATAGGGATGAAATTGGAGGTTTTAATAGATTGGTATAGGGAGAAGAAGGAAGCACATTAAGTAATTTAGTGACTTAGATACTCTATTGCAATTTGAAAATATTTGGGATAAAAATAGGCTCTGAAAACAAGTGGGAATTTTTGCATATTGTAGATGGCAAACCGTATTCAAATTTTGCAGAAATAATTTTTTTATGAAATTGCAGAGGAAGGTTCTATAAATCTCAGTGTTCTGATATTAGTATATAGACTTTTAGTTATACTTGCATATAAAAATACCCATTAACTCGTAAGGTCATAGGTCACAAACATGTAACAGCTGTATTTTATATGGCCATCAACAATATTTTAAGAAATGGAATTTGGATAGATTAGCAAAATTAATCTGATACCTAAAGCACAAGCAATCAAAGAAAAAAATAATTGGATTTATTCAAGCTTAAAAACTTCTGTACTTTGAAGAACACTGTCAAGAAAGTAAAAAAGACAACCCAGTGAATGGGGAAAAATATTTACAAATTGTGTGTTAATAATGGTTTAATAGGGGATCCCTGGGTGGCGCAGCAGTTTGGCGCCTGCCTTTGGCCCAGGGCGCGATCCTGGAGACCCGGGATCGAATCCCACGTCGGGCTCCCGGTGCATGGAGCCTGCTTCTCCCTCTGCCTGTGTCTCTGCCTCTCTCTCTCTCTCTCTGTGTGACTATCACAAATAAATAAAAATTAAAAAAAAAATAATAATGGTTTAATATCCAGAATATATAAAGAATTCCTATAACAACAATAAAAGAACAACCCAATTAAAAAATGGGCGCAAAGGATTTTAATAGGCATTTCTCAAAAAAAAAATAGCTATGCAAGAAGCAAATGAAAAAGACACTCAACATCATTAGTCATTAGGGAAATGCACATCAAAATCACAATGAGATATTACTTCACACTCACTAGATGGCTGTAATCCAATTAAGGGACAATAAGAAGTGTTGGTGAGAATGTGGAGAAATTGGAATTCTCATGCATTGCGGGTGGATGTAAAATGGTGCAGCTGCTTTGGGTAAGTTTGGCAGTCTCTCAGATAATAAAATCATTTGTTTACCATACAACCCAGCAGTTCCACTCCTAGGTATACACTGAAGAGAATTAAGAGCATATGTTCATCCAAAAATGTATATACAAAAGTTCATAGTTTCATTATTCTTAGTAGGCAAAAAAAGAAAGGCAATAACCCAAATGTTCATCAGTTGATGAATAGATAAACGATGTATTTCTTCAGCAGAATGTTGGTCAGCAATAGAAAGGAATAGAATTCTCATACATGCAACAATGTGGATAAACTTTGAAAACATTATGCTAAAAAAAAAAAAAAGAAAGAAAGAAAACATTATGCTGGGTTAAAGAAACCAGTCACAAAAGGCCATGTGTTGTATGATTCCTTTTAGATAAAAAGTCCAGAATGGGCAAATCCACAGCAAAAAGTAGATGAGTTGTTACCAGGGTAGTGAGGAAGAGGAAATGGAAGGTGACTACTAATGGCTATAGAGTTTTTCTTTGGGGATAATGAAACTGTCCCGGAATTAGATAAGGGTAATGTCTGCACAACTTTGTAAATATATTAAAGACCACTGAATTTATACACTTTAAAATGATGATTTTAGTATATGTGAGTTATAGCTCGATTTTTTTTTTTTTACATTTTATAAACCTTTTGGATTTCTATTGAAGTATAATTGACTTATAACATTGTGTTAATCATTTAGGGTATATAACATAATGATTTGATATATGCATATGTTATGAAATAATTTTTTTATTTTATTATTTTTTTATGTTATGAAATAATTACCACAATAAGTTTAGTTGCTATTCATCACCTCCTATAGTTACAGATTTTTTCCTTGTGATCTCTTAATTTAAAAAAAAAATGCATTATAGATTCCACCATTTCGTACTTTTTTAATACTCATCTAGCCTAGCTTCACTCATTTTACATTATCTCTCTGGCTCCTAAGAACATTTGATTTTGCGAACCTCTGTTTGGTAAAGAACACAAATGGTGGAACTTATTTCAAGGTTCATACAGTTTTAGTTTTAATTTGGATAGCATAATGAATTAGATAAAACATCTGTCTTGTCATTCAGCCTACTTAGTATATCTGAAATGTTATCTACTCTCCTCTACTATTTGTCTACTTATCTACTTTCTAGTCTGAGCCAACCATCACCTCCGAGCCAGCTGCCTGGACTGATACATTGACCCATTGTCTCCCCTCATCTCCTTTCTCTCCCCGATCATTTTCCACATAGCAGCCGAAGTGCTTTCTAAACCCATCATTTCCCTTTTCTAAAACTCTTCTATTTCTTTTCCCATAGCTTTTTGAATAATGCCCTACAAAGCCAGGTGTGATCTAACCCTGCCTTTTTCTCATCCAGTTCTTGGATAACTTCTTTTTGTTTTATTATTTTCTCAAAATGATAAGCTCCTTCCTTTTCTCTTCAGCTCAGTGCCTTTGTACATGATATCCCCTGTGCCTGAAATGGAGATTTCTTCTCACTTGCTATCTTCGCCTGCCCAGTCTCCCTAGTCTCGGTTTAAATGCCACTCCCTCAGGCAAGGCTTTCTTGATTCTTGAGACTAGATTTATTTCTCATTGAAATGCTTTTATAGCACCTTGAACTTCTCATTTTTTAATAGTTATTACAAATTTTAATTGTATAATTGTGTTATTACCTGTTTTCGCTGCAAGAATATAAACTCTGTGTCTATCATCTTGTCCATTACTTCCTAAACATGATGGCTAGCACTTCATAAGCAGGCAATAAATACCTCATGAATGGAATTACATATTCATTAATGAAAATAATCCTTGTTTTTTTCATTAAGGGAGGAAGAAAGGGAAGATTTTGATACTAGCACTGAAAGCAAAGAAACAGAGCAAAAGGAACTTGATCAAGACACAGTCACTGAGGATGAAGATGACCCAGGATCACATAAAAGAGGAAGAAGGGGTAATACAGAAATTTCTTAAGGGCATGCCTGATTGTTTTAATTAATAAGGCACTTTATAACTCAGCTGTCCTGAAATATGTATTAGATTACTTCATTTATGATTCCAAGGTGTGTATGTTTCTTAAATGCTCAACTCACAGCTGTGATAAGTTTTTTAAATGGTGACCATTTTGTTTTAAAAAATGGTGTTGGAAGTTATATTTCGTTTTTATTCTCATATAAGTTATTCTTGAGGAAAGAGTGACAATATTCATTTTTTTTTAAGATTTTATTTATTTGAGAGAGAGCATGAACGGAGGGGCAGAGGGAGAGAGACAAGCAGGCTCCCCACTGAGCAGGGAGCCCAATTCAGGGCTCAATGTCAGGACCCTAGGATCATGACCTGAGCAGATGCTTAGCTGACTGAGCTACCCAGGCACCTCTTCTGATTGTTGTTGTTGTTTTTGTTTTTTTTTTTTTTAATTTTTTTTTTAAATTTTTTTTTAAATTTTTATTTATTTATGATAGTCACAGAGAGAGAGAGAGAGGCAGAGACACAGGCAGAGGGAGAAGCAGGCTCCATGCACCAGGAGCCTGATGTGGGATTCGATCCCGGGTCTCCAGGATCGTGCCCTGGGCCAAAGGCAGGCACCAAACCGCTGCGCCACCCAGGGATCCCCTGTTGTTGTTGTTTTTTTAATTCAATTTTCATATTGTTTTAATAGGCCCATTTCTCATAACTTCAACTTTTGGTTAGTCAGCGAGTTTTGTTGAGTTTTTGTATTTACTATTTTATATTAGGCCAAATAGAAATTTTTATTCCATTGCATACTCACTCAACATGTATTAAGTGCCCTTTAGGTGCTAGAAATATAAAAGTCAGTAATGCTTTTAATAGGTTCCATATGCTGAGAATAGAAATCAACTACCTTAAAATAATTTCATGAATTGCTGGATCAAGGGGAATACATTTTTTAAAAGTTGTTGATACAGATTACTTCTGAAGATCTTTAACTATCTTCATTTAACAACTATTAAAGGAGATTTTTAACTGTATTCTGTGCCTATAATTTTGTTGGTATCTTTTTTTTCTAAATTATTTGCTAAATAGTTATTACAAGTAGACAAAATCTGTATTGTGGAGGCTATATTTTCTGATTATAATGCAATTGATTTAGAAACGTAAAACAAAAAGTCTTCATTTGATTAGAGTTTTAAGACATTTTTAAGTAATTGGTCAAAGTAGAAACCATAAATGGAAACTAGAAAATAAAACTAATCTATACTGAAAAAGACTATCAGTACTATCAATTAACACTTGTTTGATACAGTCCCTCTACTTAAGAGGAAAATTTCTAGTTTTAATACCTATTAGGAAAGAAGAAAGGCAAATTGAGCTAGGTATTCATTTAAGAAGTCAGAGGTAGATAACAGAAAAATCCCTCCATAAAAGGAAACAATAGATATGAGGAGAAATTAATAGAAAGTAAAACTGTAATAGAGAAGAACAGCAAAGCCAACAGTTTGTTCTTTGAAAAAGATATGAACTAGACAAAGCTTTCTTGAAATTGATTTGAGGGCAGGGGGAAGGGAGTCTCAGTAAGGTTAAGGTTGAAAAGGGAAGCAGCATAACTATAGATAAAGTAGAAATTTAAAGATACAGGGACAGCACATACAGTTTTATGGCAGTTACTTTGAGAAAGTGGAGACAAGGGCAGCCCAGGTGGCTCAGCAGTTTAGCACTGCCTTCAGTCCAGGGCCTGATCCTGGAGACCTGGGATCCAGTCCCACATTGGGCTCCCTGCATGGAGCCTGCTTCTCTCTGTGTGTGTCTCTCATGAATAAATAAATAAAATATTTTTAAAAAATAAATTAATTAAAAAAATGAAAGTGGAGACAAGGGCAGCCGGGTGGCTCAGCGGTTTAGTGCCACCTTCAGCCCAGGGTATGATCCTGGAGAACTGGGATCGAGTCCCATCTCAGGCTCCCTGCACGGAGCCTGCTTCTCTCTCTGTCTCTTTCTCTCTCTCTGATGAATGAATAAATAAAATCTTAAAAAAGATAAAAATGAAAACCAGTGCACTGTATGATGCTGATTTTCTCTGCTTTGATCTTAAAAAAAAAAAGAAAAGAAAAGAAAGTGGAGACAAAAGCAAAATCCTAGAAAAAGACACATTATGAGAGTAGATTCATGAGGGCTGCCGGGGTGGCTCATTGGGCTTTTTGCTCAGGTCATGATCCTGGGGTCCTGGGGTCGAGCCCTATGTTGGGCTCCCTGCTCAGTGGGAGGTCTACATTTCCCTCTCCCCCTACCCTCTCACTCTCTCTCAAATAGATAAAATCTTTTTTAAAAAATGGATTCATAAAAAAAAATGGATTCATGAGAAAATTTAAAATGTGAATGGTCCTAAACCATTAGATATTGAACCAATATTAAAAATATCTCTACAGGGGTGCCTGGGTGGCTCAGTCAGTTAAGCATCTGCTTCAGCTCAGGTCATGATCCCAAAGTCCTGAGATTGAGACCCTCGTTGGGCTCCCTGCTCAGTGGGGAGCCTACTTCTCCCTATCCCCCTGCACTCCCCCTGCTTGTACTCTCTTGGTCTCTGTTAAGTAGAGTCTTTAAATAAATAAAATCTTTATAAATGAAGATAAACAAATAAGTAATAAATTTATGTATCTTTAATAAAAATGCCCTGTGTCAGGCTTCCTGCTTAGCAGGGACCCTGCTTTTCCCTCTCCTGCCCACTTATGCCTTCTGCTGCTATCTCAAGTATTTACTTATTTACTTTATTTATTTAAATAAAATATTTTTTTAAAAATCTACAGGGACACCCGAGTGGCTCAGTATCTGACTCTTGATTTTGGCTCAGGTTATGAGATCAGTGTAGAGCCCACTTAAGTTTCTTTCTCTCCCTCTGCTTCTCCCCTACCCTGCTCCTACTCTTTCTGAATTAAAAAAAAAAAAATCTTCCTACAAAGAAAACTTCAATCCTAGACAACTTTATAGGTGAATTTTCCCAAATTTTAAAGCAGATAATTCTAATCTCATACAGATGCTTTCAAGCAAAAGAAAGAAAGGAAGGAAAGAAAGAAAGAAAACTGACTCCCTGACCATCTAAGCAATCTGACAGTGCCTAAAATGGGAGAAGTTTAATTCAACACATCATAAAAGGCCAGGCAGCTCACCAGGAATCCAGGCTCTTTCTATCTTGTTCATACTGCCATCCTTAGGGTTTTGCTGCCATCCTCATGACCCAAAATGATTTATCCCCATGGCATCATTCTGGCTAGTTGAAAGAAGGAAAAAAGAAAGAGATACAACCCAGAGGTTACATATAATGCAGAATTCTACTCCCATCTCTTTGATCAGAAGCTTCTTATGTAGCCATACTTCCTGGGGAAACGGTTCCCGCTGGGAAGTGTCCTTCTTTTGAACCGCTAGGTACCTAACTAAGCATTAGGGGTTCTGTTACCTTGAATCAGTGGTTAGTAAACTATAGCCCATTGGCCAAATCTGCCCTGCCTGTTTTTATGTAATCCAGCTAAACTGGTTTTTACATTTTTAAATAGTTGGGGGAAAAATAATGATATTTTGTAATACAAAAATTATATGAAATTCAGATTTCAATGATCATAGTTTTAATTGGACTCAGCCATGCTTGTTCCTTTATATATTGTCTATGGCTGCTTTCATGCAACAGTGGCACAGTTGAGCAGCTGTGACAGAAACCATATGGCCCACAAAGCCTAAAAATATTTACTAGCTAGCCCTTTATGAAAGTCTGCTGACTCCTGCATTAGAGAAAGGACTGAACATATGTTGGAGAATAATAGACTCTGCCTCACTATCCAGTATGGAGATTGCAGTTTTTTGTGTGTCTCCTGTATTTAAATATACCAGTTGCCTACCAGCATAGTGTATTAGTCTGCTCAGGCTGCCATAATAAAATACCACAGACTGGGTGGCTTAAATGACAGAAATCTATTTTCTCACAGTTCTGGAGGCTGGAAGTCCAAGACCAGCAGGATTGATTTCTGGTAAGGCCTCTCTCAGCTTGCTATAACACCTTCTCACTGTGTCCTCACAGAACTGCTCCTCTGTGCCCACAAGTGTGAAGAGTGAGCACCCTGGTCTCTTTCTTACATGGATACTTGTCCTGAGTTACAGGGTCCCCACACTCTTTGAACTCATTAAACCTTAATTACCTCCTTAAGGACCCTATCTCCAAATATGTCACATTAGGGTTTAGGATTTCAACATAGGAATTTGAGGGGCATTCAGTTTGGTCCATAATACAAGGTAATTTAGGATAGCTTTGTTTTTCTGATGAAAATTTGAAATGTGATAGTGATAATCAAATGTTTAAACTATAGGGAAAAGGGGACAAAATGGATTTAAAGAATTTACAAGACAAGAAGAGGTCAACTGTGTAACAAGAGAGCCTCTTACTGCAGATGAGGAAGAAGCTTTAAAACAGGAACATCAACGAAAAGAGAAAGAGCTCTTGGAAAAAATCCAAAGTGCCATAGCATGTACCAATATCTTTCCCTTGGGCCGAGACCGCATGTATAGGCGATATTGGATTTTTCCTTCTATTCCTGGATTATTTATTGAAGAGGATTATTCTGGTCTCACTGAAGACATGCTGTTGCCTAGACCTTCATCATTTCAGAATAGTATACAGTCTCAAGATCCTCAGGTATCTACTAAAACTGGAGAGTCTTTGACGCCTGAATCTACCTCCAACATTGACCAAGGTCCATGTGATGATTCTGTGCAACTGCCAAAACCAGTGCATAAGCCAAATCGGTGGTGCTTTTACAGTTCTTGTGAACAGCTAGACCAGCTTATTGAAGCTCTTAATTCTAGAGGACATAGAGAAAGTGCCTTAAAAGAAACTTTGTTGCAAGAGAAGAGCAGAATATGTGCACAGCTAGCCCATTTTTCTGAAGAGAAATTTCATTTTTCAGGTAAATTTTCATTGAAAACTTTCTTTTATTTTCTCTCCCCATAATCTCTAGTTCAGGCTTAAACATTTGTTGAACTATTAAAGCTATATATAAAACACCTTCTTTTCCATTTGGACCATGCTCTCAGTTTGCAAGTTAGAGAATGTTTGCCAGTTAGAGAACAAGGTTCTCTAGATGTCGCTGGGTTCCACTTGGATGGAGAAACAGCAATGTGTGAAGATCCATCCTCTTTCTGATCTCATTTCCTGATCAGAGACTCGATACCTAAGGCACTAAGGTTAACATTAGTTTTAGAAATTCGACGTGATACTGAGAGTTCAGTCACTAAGGATTTTGACTGAGAGTCCAGGGACAGGTTCTCTTAGTGATCACTTCTTTGGAGATTGCTGCAACGGCAGATCAGGGAGCAGCATCTCTATATGATGGCTGGTTCATTGATAACAGATAAGAGAAAGCAGTAAGGCATTTGGGGTATAAGTTTTAATATCACTAAACAAGATCCTCTAGGTAAAGAACTGTTAAATTTAGGGGCATATTGTCATGACTACTTTAGTTCTCTTCACATTAAAAACTTTAGATCACAATTCTTTATTTAACAGCTTTATTGAGAATTAGTTCATACACCATATAATCCACTCATTTGAAGTGTGCAATTCAGTGGTTTTCATTATATTCACAGATGTGCAGCCATCACACAATTTTAGAACATTTTATCACCTCAAAAGGAAACCCTAGATTTGTTTTCTGTCTCTGTAAATTCCCCTGTCTGAACATTTTAAATGAATGGTATCATATAATATATGTATGGTCTTTTGTGACTGGGTTTTTTCACTTAGCATAATGCTTTCAAGGTGCATCCAAGTTGTAGCACATGTCAGTACTTCATACTTTTTATAACCAAATAATGTTCCATTATATAGATACATACTACATTTTATTTAACCATATATTAGTTGATGGATATTTCTGTGGCTTGCATATTTTGGCAGTTGTGAATAATGCTGTTGTAAACATTGCATACAAGTTTTTGTCTCAACATATGTTTTCATTTCTCTTGGGTGTATACCTAAGAGTGGTCATGTGATAATTCTGTTTAATCATTTGAGGAACTGCCATACTGTTTGCTGCACCATTCTGTATTCCTACCAAGAGTGTATGAGGGCTGAAAGTTTTCCATGTCCTTGTCAACATTTGGTTTGTCTGACTTTCAGATTCTAACCATTTTAGACATATGAAGTGGTACTTTATTGTTTTGATGTGAATTTCCCTAATGAGTAATAGTGTTGAACATCTTTTCATGGTCTTATTGGCCATTTGTATATCTTCCTTAAAGAAAAGTCTATTCATATCTGTTCATTGCCCATTCTTTTTATTGGAATGTCTTTTTATTTTTTTATTTTTTTTTATTTTTTTTGGAATGTCTTTTTATTGAGTTGTAAGAAAGAGTTCTTCAAATATTCTAGACTCAAGTTCCTTATTAGTTATCTAATATGCAAACATTTCTGCCCCCTCCCCGTTTTTTTTGCACTTGAGGATTTATTAAATGTTCTTATATCCATTATCTCATGATCATAACTACCACTTTTGGGAAATCATATTTTTTAGTAAGAAAATCATAATAAAGGTATTGATAACTATTTCAGACAAACCTCAAACTGATAGCAAACCTACATATTGCCGGGGAAGATCTTCCACTGCATATGATTCAGCTCAGATGTCTGCAGAAAGACAGCTTGAATTGAGGCTGAGAGATTTTCTTTTGGATATTGAAGACAGAATTTACCAGGGAACATTAGGAGCAATCAAGGTTTGTATCTGTTCCCATTTTTAATTTACCTGATTACCAAAGTTTTGGTCGTATTTGTTAATTTACTTGGTATAGGCAAGGTATGTGTGTTTTGAATAAATACATGGGAGTGATACATTTTTTATGAAAACTCAGTTTCTTCCCCTGTATCAAAGTATATATGAGTAGAGATCTTTCTTAAATATACAGTATGACTATCTGCTTTTTTAAATAGAATTTAATGAACATCATTGACTTAATTTTTAATATTAACTTTTAGTATTTTTTAAATATCTGTTTTATGGTATTTTCATCCGAGATGTTAAAATGTGTAAGGATATTTTCTTCTTCCTTGACTAGCTCCTGCCTGCTCTGCTGAGTCTGGTTTGTTTATTGGTTTCTTTGTTACCTTTTTAAAATCTGTAAGTAATTCATGCTTGATATGTGTGTTCTGTTCATTCCTTTGCTATATCATCTGTCACTTTTTTGCTACTATCAGGTGACCAGTCTTAGAATTATGATTTCCCTATATAGAAAGTGAGGTACTAAAGCTTCCATCTATGAATGATATGAATTTCATTTTGGCCACTTAGTAACCTTATTTTTAGATCCCTTTTTGATTCACAATCTGTTCTAGAATATTCATGAATTTCTCATATGTACATTGAATCTCATATTTCTTGGGAACAACATATGCCATTTTTCCAGGTTGATAAATTTGGGTTTTGTTACAGGTTACAGATCGACACATCTGGAGATCAGCATTAGAGAGTGGACGTTATGAGCTGTTAAGTGAGGAGAACAAGGAAAATGGGATCATTAAGACTGTGAATGAAGATGTGGAAGAGATGGAAATTGATGAGCAAGCAAAGGTCATAGTAAAAGACAGGTACAAAAAGGGTTTTTCTAAAGAAACTGTCACTTTTCCTTCCCAGTTCAATTGCAAAATTGAAAATTTTAGTAAATTCTCTTTTTCCTCAAAAAATTGTTTTAAAATCTTATCATGAGGACTTTTAAGACTTGTAACCACTGAAATGATCGTTTTCTTCAACCTCAGGCTCTCTTTTACTCCACTTTGTGCTAGTGTAGCCAAAAGACAGCTTGTTAGATAATGACAATTTCTCAAGCTTAAAAAGAAGTCTTTGGACTTAAGATTTTATTAATCTCAGAAAGTGACTAACTTTATACTATCCATTTTTCTTTTGTGTAGGATAACTTAGTAAATTGTGGTAGGCTTAATTATTATTTGAATTATTAATCAGAACCTATATCTGTATATCTATAGATAGATACTTTGACTACCTTGATAGTTATTTTTAGATAACTACCCTTAAGGAGTTTATTATCTAGAAAAAAAGGAAGATATGATACTGGGAGAGGAGACATAGTACTGAAGGCTTTGAGCAAATGGGTTTGTACATTTAAATGATCATTTAGCTGCTGAGATTGGAGGCTAAGGAACTACTTAGGAGGCAGCTACAAGTGTCCTAGCCAGTAAAAACTGAAGCTAGAGAAAAAGGTATAGAGGTAAACTGCCTGGGTGGCACCTGGGTGGCTCAGTCAGTTAACAAGCATCTGGCTTTGGCTCTGGTCATGATCCTGGGGTCCTGGGATCGAGCCCCACATCAGGCTCCCTGCACAATGAGGAGCCTGCCTCTCCCTCTGCCCCTTCCCACTGCTTGTGTTCTCTCTGTGTCTCTCAAATAAGTAATAAAATCTTAAAAAAAAAAAAAAAAAAGAGCTGCCTGGGATTTGTGTCCTTAAGGCTCATCATTGGGTCATCTACCTAAAACCTTTCTACCTAAGCCTTGTCTCATCCACCTTCCCTCCAAATATTTGCCCTTCTGACCTCCTTAAATGACTTGGTATTTAGTTTAGCTCTTGATTCACGTGTTTATTTCCCTTTCCTACTGGCTTACATAATCTCCTTTGAGATTGAGGAAACTGTTTTTACACAGATAATAAGCAAGCATTTGGAGGAATAGACTCAAGTTTTACCTAAGTGTTTTTGAATAACGTAAACTCTGGGCAGCCCACGTGGCTCAGCGGTTTAGCGCCACCTTCAGCCCAGGGCCTGATCCTGGAGACCCAGGATCAAGTCCCACATCAGGCTCCCTGCATGGAGCCTGCTTCTCCCTCTGCCTGTGCCTCTGCCTCTCTCTCTGTGTCTCTAATGAATAAATAAATAAAATCTTTAAAAAATAATAATAATAATAATAATGTAAACTCTTCCATGTTTTCATTGTAGACTCTTGGGCATAAAAACAGAAACTCCAAGTACTGTCTCAACTAACACAAGTACACCACAATCAGTGAGCAATGTGGTTCATTATCTGGCAATGGCACTTTTTCAAATAGAGCAGGGCATTGAGCGGCGTTTTCTCAAAGCTCCACTTGGTAAGTACCAGTTTGCACTTCAAAATATTAGTTGTACCTTAAATGATTTTGAGATTGCCCTGTAGGGACAGTTCCCTATAGGGGTGACTCAGTGGTTGAGTGTCTGCCTTCGACTCAGGGCATGATCCCGGGGCCCTGGGATCGAGTCCCACATTGGGCTCACCACAGGGAACCTGCTTCTCTCTCTGCCTATGCCTCTGCCTCTCTCTCTGTGCCTGTCATTCATTCATTCATTCATTCATAAATAAATAAATAAATAAATAAATAAATAAATAAATACTTTAAAAAAAGAGAGAAAGAGAAGAAAGAAAAAGGAAAGAAAGAAAGAAATTGCCCTATAATAGAAATTTGTGGACTGACACAACGAAATTGGCTAAAAATTTTAAGATTGTATTTTCATTTTAAAATGTGGGTTCTTGGGATCCCTGGGTGGCGCAACGGTTTAGCGCCTGCCTTTGGCCCAGGGTGCGATCCTGGAGACCCGGGATCGAATCCCACGTCGGGCTCCCGGTGCATGGAGCTTGCTTCTCCCTCTGCCTATGTCTCTGCCTCTCTCTCTGTGTGTGTGTGTGACTATCATAAATAAATAAAATCTTAAAATCTTCTCTATTAAAAAAAAATAATAATAAAATAAAATGTGGGTTCTTTCAGGTGAGAGGTTTTAAAATAATACTTAAAAGTCCTTTTTATTTTAGATACTCATCTTAATGACTGTCTTTTTATCCATTTCTGTCAATCTTTTCTTTTGTGTTTCATCAAAAGAAAGATTACCAAAACCTGTTACTGGCCAGATTCTGAATAATCAAAAATTGTACATAAATATTTGTTATATAAAACAGAACCCCAAAGAAGCTGCTTAAGTGTGGGTCACTGGGACACCTGGGTGGCTTAGTTGGCTGAGCAGCTGACTTAGTTTTGGCTCAGGTCATGATCTCAGGGTGATGGGATTGAGCCCTGCTTTGGGCTCCACAGTCAGTAGAAAGTCTGCTCAAGGATTCTCTCTCTCCTTCTCCCTCCAATCCTCCCTCTACTCAAACACTCTCATCTCAGATGAATAAATAAATCTTTAAAAAAATAATAATAATGTGGGTCACTAACCTGAGCACCATATGAGAAGCACTGAATCAAGTGTTAAAGGGTACGTAAATGAGGAAATGCTCTATAATTTATGGTAGGATGATAGAAGTGATACTATCTGGATTGTGTTTTAGCAGCGTGTTTCAAGTTCCAAATCAACTCTCAAGTCATAACTGCCTTGAACTTCCCTTTGTTCTGACATGTTAAATTAATTTATAATTCATCATATTCAAAGTAGTTTGTATCTCAGTAGTGGGGTGCTAGAAGAAACAGTTTTTTAAACCGTATCTTTTTGGTCTATTGAGAGCAACTTGAATTGACTAAAATCCTTTTTCAATTATTTGAATATTACCTTGTTGAGTACTAAGAACAGCTTTCATAAATATATAGTTCTATCAGAATGTGGATATATTTATAAAATATCAATTTGAAATTGAAGGGTTTATGGCCAGTATCTTATTGTTCTAATAAACCTTTTCATATTTTTATAAATTGATAATTCCACCATGAGCTCAATGACTCACTTTTCAGATTGGAAAATAGCAGTTAGAGAAATAAATATGTATGATCATAGCTCACAAAAATACTCATTTATATTTGCTATATCACTTATTTCCCAGTTTTCATTATTTCTTAATAGTTTCTGTGTCTAAATTGAACTACATATACAAAGGATCCCTTTCTACTATTTTTTACAACCACATAGGAATCTACAATTACTAAAATTAAAATTTTAAATAAAATTTATTTGTAAATTATGTAACTCTTATAAATATTTCACTACTATTATTAATTCTGTGATTCCAAAAGAGAGAAAACACAATTCTGCTGATTTTCTTCCATTTCTGAAACTGCCCATCAATTAAAGTTGTTTATAAAATCAAGGAGAATAAATAAACAAATAAATAAATAAATAATATCAAGGAGAAAAATATCAAATTGTTTAATGTGTCCATATTTTCATCAGTATGTTATTAAATATTTAAACATAAAGGGGAAAAGTTAACACTGGGAGATGTTGCAGCTTACAATCTAGTAGGTTATATGAGAGCTGAGACCTATAGTTCTGCTAGGTTGTATACAGCAGTGCTGGAACATTCATTTCATCCTAAGGGATATAAAAGGAACAATTTTGGGATGCCTGGGTGGCTCAGCTGTTGAGCGTCTGCCTTCGGTTCAGGGTGTAATCTAGGAATCCAGGATAGAGTCTCACGTCAGGCTTCTTGCCGGGAGCCTGCTTCTCCCTCTGCCTGTGTCTCCATCTCTCTCTCTCTCTCTCTCTCTCTCTCTCTCTCTCTGTCTCATGAATAAGTAAAATCTTTTAAAAAAAGAAAAAGAACAATTTCAGTTTGAAGTCTTAAAAAAGGTGAAATAAAACTTCAACTTACTTTGATGGTAAATGTTGATCAAAGTTTAGATATTGATTGTTTATAATTTGATTGTTATCTACCATTGCTGCCCCGTAAAAAGTTAATAGAATAATTGATGTCTGTAGGTTTTTATATTTTGTTTAAGCCTTTGGGGGATCTGTTTTGAATGGGACCACAAGAACTAGAGGTGCCTCTGGGGTTTGAAGATAATCTAAATATTTAAAGCAAGGTTATCAAGAATATCCTTAATCTGGGGGAGAAATGTGGGTTCTGCTTTATGAATGTTTGAGATAGAATATAAAAATTATCCATTCTTTTGATTATTTTTCAGCATAGCAAATTCACTGTGGTAGGAATTTTACCAGTTTAGCTTCAGAGATCGTTTCGGTTTCTTTTTTTCTTTTCTTTTTTTTTTTTTTTTAAGATTTTATTTATTTATTCATGAGAGACAGAGAGAGGCAGAGACATAGACAGAGGAGAAGCAGGCTCTATGCAAGGAGCCTGATGTGGGCCTCAGTCCTGGAACTTCAGGATCATGCCCTGAGCCGAAGGCAGACGCTCAGCCATTGAGCCACTCAGGCATCCCTGTTTCAGTTTCTTGAGGAAGCAAGTAAAATAAAAATTCTACTTAAGGGATCCCTGGGTGGCGCAGCAGTTTAGCGCCTGCCTTTGGCCCGGGGCGCGATCCTGGAGACCCGGGATCGAATCCCACATCGGGCTCCCGGTGCATGGAGCCTGCTTCTCCCTCTGCCTGTGTCTCTGCCTCTCCCTCTCTCTCTGTGACTATCATAAATAAATAAAAATTTAAAAAAAAAAAAGATTTAAAAAAAAAAATTCTACTTAAGTTTCACTCTCCATAGGATGTCCCTCTTATTCTAATCATTAATCACATTAATAAAACTAGGCTTTTTTTAACTTGAGGAAGATATTCATATTTGAATTATTTTAGGTAAGATCTGTGAGAATTGTTTAGGTTGGAAATCTCATCATTTATAAAGTCATGCTTATGGTTAAATCCTTAAGCAATGAAAAAATCCTCAAACTAACTTTATCAATTTGAAATTAGGTAACACAGAAATTAATAAAGACCAAAGGGGAGATAGAAAACAAAAGGACACGAAAAAGAGAGAGGAAGATCAATCTAGTGTGAGAGTTGGTAAATTTTTAACTTTTTAAAGAATTTTGTCTTTTTAAAGAATTATGATTTTACTTCCTGTGTTGCTGAGTACTGGTTTGAATATTTAGCTTTGGAAGGAAAACCTTGAATTTGATGGTCTTTTTGGAAAGGAATGGGATTGGAGACACTCTTATAAAATAATATCTTCCTAGCATTTTTCTTCTACATTGCATACCTCGGTTAATGAAACTTTTTTTTTTTTTTTTTTTGCTAGCATAGGGGGATTTATAGGGTGGGAGTTTTTGTGTTATCTCCAGGAAAAACCTACATAGCATGGTCACATGGATTACTATGTAGTAGCAGTTAACAATATGAAGTCTCCCAATGTAATATATGATCATATGACTCTACCATTATTTCATATGTAAAATCCTAATTTCTTGAGGGATTTATTTATACTAGCATGATGGAAGATAAAAGAGAAACAAGACACTTCTATCCTTGGGAGTTTTATAATCTGGAGAAGTGGCAAGACAACAGAAAAATGGAATCAATTGTATACACTGTTTTTTTATCCTTATTTATGTACTATATAAAAGCAGAAGCATGTGGGCATCCATTTAAAAAGTGGGTGGGATAAAAATTGGACATTGAGATACCACAGATTTAATTTTTTCTTTTTCTTTCTTTTTTTTATTTTTTTAAGATTTTATTTATTCACGAGAGACAGAGAGAGAGAGAGAGAGAGAGAGAGAGAGAGAAACACAGGCAGAGGGATAAGCAGGCTCCATGCAGGGAACCTGACTCCATCCCAGGTTTCCAGGATCAGGCCCTGGGCTGAAGGTGGCGCTAAACCGCTGAGCCACCTGGGCTGCCCAGATTTAATTTTCTTAAAGCACCTCTTTGATCAAAACCCATAATGTCTCACCAACCTTCAAGTTAAAAATCATTCAGACTGACTTTCAAGGTTCCAAAGGCCCTTCACAGTTTGTCTTTTTCCTCCACTCTTCCACAGTGGCCTATGTGCAATCTTATTTCTTGCACTTACCAATAAGAATGTCCTTGGATTTATCCAGAAAGATTTCTTTAAGATCTTTGAACTAGCAATTTTTGTTGCCTCCTTCCTTAGAGAGTCTGCTCAGGCTAGAACTTTTCATTAAGCCTTATATCAAAAATCACGGTAAATAGAAAACACAAAATAAGAGGGTGGAAATAATTACTGCATTTATTTCTCACTTTGCTAATATTTTTCTTCAGCTTTACCTGAAGAGCCATTGACCCATTCGTTTTTTCCCTCTCCCATCAGGTTATTACTCTCAATTATTTTTGGAGATTCTGATGCTTTTTCAAACTGCTTGAAACAGTTCCTTATATTTTCAAACATTTATTTCTTAAAACATTAAAACAGTTACTTTATATTTTGTGTCTAATCAAATATCTCAAGTCTTTATGGGTCAGATTCTGCTGGCTCTTGTCTGTAATTTTTTGTTTCCACATGTGCATTGTAAGTCTTGACTATTAACTGTCATTCCTCAGAACTTGATCTATGGAAATTTCTTTAGAGAGAATTTGCAAAGATGTGTACTTGTTTCTGCCATCCACCTGATTTCACTACCACCTGGGCCACTTTAAAAATCTTATGTTTTTTCAGGTTTTAAACTGTTTAGGCATTGGTTACGTGTTCTCAGGGTAGATTCATTTTCCCTTTCCACTCAACACCAAGGTCCAGATGAGCAGATTTCCATGCTACTTCTTTCTTTCTCCAATGTACCCTTTCCTGCCTTGATGCTTGAAGGTACAGCCTTTTGGAGTCCTAACTTTTCAGAAAGGATTCAGCACATTGGGTGAGCCCTAGATATCACGTCCTGTCTCTCTCATCCAGCCCAACAATCAAACAGAAGCTCAAGACTCAACTAATGTTTGGCAGATCTGCTCCTTTATGACTTCAGCTCCTTGTATATATCTTCACTCTCCCAGCTATATAAAAAATTTCTTAAAGGTAGGGACCATAGAATGAATTGTTTCATATCTTCTAAATTGTTGCACACAGGAGGAACAGTATAATGCAGCAATAATGATAACAGTAACAGCATTTACTCCCTGATAGGCATTTTACTTGTCTCATATATATCATCCCACTTAATCTTCCTCACAGCCCTCAGACTCAGAGGTAGATGCTATCCACATATTACTGTTGGGAAACCTGAGGCCGCACTCAAACAGGGGGGCTAGTACTCACCTCGAAGCCGACTGACTCCAGAGCCCACATTCCCTTTAATCATTATGCTACTGCCCAAGAGGACTTTTTTTTTTTTTTGAGGATAGTAGTAGGAAATATGTCATAATAAGAATAAACTATGTTTGGAGTCTTATAAACCTTGTAGAAATTGGACATTATGTGGTAGTCCTTTCATAATTAAGTATAATGTTCTAGGAATATAAGGTGGTAGCAATGATGGAAGATTCACTGAAGAGAAAAATCACATGCCAGTGTTAAATGATAGGTTAATGGCATCTAGCCAAATGACTCTTAATAAATCTTAGTCCAGAAGACAAAGAAATGATGTTATTAATGACAGAAACTTTCAAAGGTTCCTATATAAATATTAATGCTGAAAGTTCTTTTGGGAAGTGGAGTTTTAGCATTTTTTTACCTCATTTAAAAAAATATTTTCTTAGAGATAGAAGACAAGAGAGTTAGCATTTCTATATAATTGATATTTTTAATAATAGCTTTATTGAGATATTTGCATGTATAAAATTCATCCTTTTAAAAAATGGATGGATTCAGTGGGTTTTAGTATATTCACTGTTACACAGCCATTCACCATGATCTAATTTCAGAAAATTTTCATCAGCCCCAGGAGAAGACCTCTTATATGATTGATATTTAACTTAGAAGCATTATCCTTGATTCAAATGGAAACTAACTGATTTGTTATCATATTTAGCTAGTTCTTTAAGTCAGGCCAAGAATTGATTAAAAACCACTAGATTGAGAACACATTGCTTAAGTTAATTCTTCTCTTTTTAACTATTGAAATCCCCAAGCTTTTGATTTATGGATTTAAGTAATTCTTTATATCACAAACAAGCTATGGCTCAGCAAATATTTTCTTTAACATGAGGTTTTTGTTTTTAATATCAACACGATCTTTTTGTTAAGTTTTAGAAGAACTTTAAAATCTAACCTGTTTAAAATACCAAGAAAATAGTTCTAGGAGATGTCTGAGGTTTGCCTAGACATTTAAATTAATTTACCTTTTCATTTAAGATGCCAGTGACAGTGGGCGTTCTTACAAAACAGTCCTGGACCGTTGGAGAGAGTCTCTGCTTGCTTCTGCTAGTCTATCCCAAGTCTTTCTTCATCTCTCCACCTTGGATCGTAGTGTGATATGGTCTAAATCTATACTGAATGCTCGTTGCAAGATATGCCGAAAAAAAGGCGATGCTGAAAACATGGTACTTTGTGATGGCTGTGATCGGGGTCATCATACCTACTGTGTTCGACCAAAGCTCAAGGTATTTTTCCCCCTTCTACTTCTTAGATGAGGATTGAGTGATTGAGGTTTTGAGTGACAGATGATTAATGATCATTTCTGTGATTTGTCAGACTGTGCCTGAAGGAGATTGGTTTTGTCCAGAGTGTCGGCCAAAGCAACGTTCTAGAAGACTCTCCTCTAGACAGAGACCATCCTTGGAAAGTGATGAAGAGATGGAAGACAGTATGGGAGGTGAGGATGATGAAGTTGATGATGATGATGAAGAGGGTCAAAGTGAGGAGGAGGAGTATGAGATAGACCAAGATGAAGATGACTCTCAAGAAGAGGAAGAAGTCAGGTAAGTCCTAATATGCAATAAAATGAGAGTTTCTGAGTCATAACTAGACAATCTCTTGACTACTCAAAAACAAATGGAATGATTGGGGCCGATAACTTTTTAAAAAATGGTATATAATATAGTGTCCTTACGTTATCCTTGCTTTAGTATGATAAGCATTTGAAGTTATTCCTGAGGGAATGTAGTACCTATGTGAGTTTAGCCAGGTCATAAAATCCAATAGAAGTTGACGTTTGCGTAGGAATACCAATTCAGACCCCCATTAAGTTTGATTTTACTGAATTTTGTGCCTACAGCAGCAAAGAAACATTCCAAAGGATATTTATGAGATAAAGTGAATGCAGTTTCCCAGTGCCCCTCTTGCTTTCTCAAGGAGGTATACTCAAATATGGGTGATCTTGGCATCTACAGAGAGAGAAAGAGATCTGCCAGGAAGCACATTATATTGTTAGACTCCTACCACATTAGCAGTTAGAAACAACTTCTAAACATAAGCAGGCATTCCACAACTTAGCAAGCTGTGTCACTCAGGCCTAATGAATTGGGTGAGGACCTGGTTATTCCTGCTGTGGCAGCACTAGAGCATTCTCCCCTTTATTGGTCCCTAAGACCTCTCCACCTTTTTAACATCTGAACCCCATTCATATGGAATCAGGAAAGTGAATTAAAGCAAGGGCAACTTCAAACTGACAAAGTACAAAAAGGCCAATCTCCGGAGGATAGAGAGAACTACCCTGCTTATTTTAATCAGGTTGTTTTTTTAATAGCTCCAACTAGTAGGAACCATCGTCCTTGTAGATTATAAGGGCAGTATTTGTGTTAAACATAAAGATGATAAAGAATTTGGAAAATTCCAGGTAAACTGGAAGTCCAGGTATGGGGAAATGGATAAAAAGAGGCTCAATAGGGTTGTTTCATCCTTGTCTATGACTTGAAGACAATTAAAAGATCGAACCTGGGGGGCCTGGCTGGCTCAGTCATTGAAGTGTGTAACTCTGGATCTGATCTTGGGGTTGTGAGTTCTAGCTGCATGTTGTGGATAGAGTTTACTGAAAATAAAAGATTGAATCTAGTTTTGTATTTTACAGTAAGAATCAGAAGATGGCAGAAAGATTCTCAGCATGGTATGCAGGAACCACAGATTTAGGGCCTATTTTAGTTGCTGTCATTGACCAAAACTGTAGATTACCTCACCATCAATGATAATGAAAAGTAATGGTCTCCTGTAGCATAAGGACACCAAAGAAATATATGTAGAATCATTGGCTGAATAGTAGAACAAAGGGAATAGGGATAATCGTATGTGTATCATTTCTGTGTAGAATAATCATGTTTTCTAACAATATTTACAGCCCACCAAAACGAGGAAGACCACAAGTCAGATTGCCAATTAAAACAAGAGGGAGAATTAGCACTTCTTTCTCAAGTCGTGGCCAACGACAAGATCCTGGAAGGTACACTTCACGGAGTCAGCAGAGTACACCCAAAACAACTGTTTCCTCTAAAACCACTGGTAGAAGCCTTAGAAAGATAAGGTCTGCTCCTCCAACAGAAACTAAATCTTTAAGAATTGCTGGTCGTTCTACTCGCCAGAGTTATGGCCCACTGCAAGCAGACGTATTTGTGGAACTACTTAGTCCTCGTAGAAAACGCAGAGGAAGGAAAAGTGCTAATAATACACCAGAAAATAGTCCCAACTTTCCTAACTTCAGAGTCATTGCCACAAAGTCAAGTGAGAAGTCAAGATCTCTAAATGTTACTTCAAAACTTTCTCTCCAAGATAGTGAATCCAAGAGAAGAGGAAGAAAAAGACAATCTACAGGTATAAAGAAGTCTAATTTAAATTCCTCTTACCTAAGAAAATGGAGTAATTTGCGAATATTGAATGTTGAGATATTTTGGATCATTTTTTAAAGGCTGTCACTAGGATATACAAGGTTATTAGCAACCTGGCCTAAAGCGTAATATTCATCAAAGGGGCAGCTATTTGGGGAATAAGGTAAATTATATTATGAGTATTTTTTAGTCATGTAGCAAAGTAGTTGTGAAAAATGACACATTTCATTCTTTTCCACCCTTTCCTGCTTTAAAACACAACATACTCATTATCACCTAGACAAGCTACATTGTCTAGGGGTATTTGGTAAGGTTCCTATCTGATATATTGAATTTGGGGGCAGGGGAGAGCTGGGGGAGTGATATTATCATTAGGGAGTGATCACCAGCCATCTTTTTAATTCTGATAATTGTTGTTTATAGTAATCTTTATCCAAATTTCTTGATCTCTTCAATTCTATTTTTTTCCTTTAATGCCAGTAGTAATAAAACTTTGCTATTTCCAAAAAATGAAATTAGACATAAAAAAAGATACTGTTCCTTGAAGAATTATAGATAGGTTGTGTTGCATTATTCAAATACATGGCAGGATTAAGGAGTTCATTGGTGAAAGAATAGAAGACAATTAGTCTGTTGATGCCATCACCAGACTGTCAGGTTTGGGGAGGCGGTGCATTGTATCAGGTAACTTAGCACCAGAGGTCTAATTTAGCTTTTCCTATCCCCTTATCTGTTTTGCTCTTCCCCAATTCTGAACTTCAAGCTATTTGGAAACATAGCATACCTAAAACATTTGTATTTTTTAAAAACTCTGCTCGGAAAAAAAATTGGGGAGGCACCTGGGTGGGTCAGTTGGTTGAATCATCTGCCTTTGGCTTGGGTCATGATCTCGGAATCCTGGGATTGAGACCTGAGTCATGGTCCCTCATGGGGAGCAACCTGGCCTAAAACATAATATTGGTGGAATGTCTGCTTCTTCCTCATCTCCTCCCCCCAACTTGTTATCTCTATCTCTTAAGTAAATAAAATATTTTTAAAAAATAAAGGAAAACATTTTGTTAATTGATTTGTGAAATTACTAACCTGGTTCCAATGACAAAGGGGGCAATGTATGGATTTACTTTTAAGTAGAGAATTTAAACACCTGAATTCATAATATGAACTATGCTACCTTTTTCTACTAATTCATACACTTTAGATTTCATTATATATACCTTAGGTTTTATGAGAAAGGATTTTGCTTTCAGAAATCCTCCATATAAAATTAAGACAAGAGATGCATTTGGGTAGCTCAGTTGAGGGACCAACTCTTGATTTTGGCTCAGGTTGTGACCCCAGGGTTGTGGGATCAAGCCCTCCCTCAGGCTCTGTGCTCATGCTCATCATGGAGTCTGCTTGTCCTCCCTCTGCTCCTTATCCACCTCCCTCTCATGCACTCTCTCCCCTCAAATGAATCAATAAATAAAATTAATGATAATCTTTTATTTCATTGTTAAACATCTCATTTCTACCATGCAAGGTAATTTATAAAGAGGTCTACTTGCTAGATCTGAAAAGATTGTTTTCCTAATGATGTGTTTCAGAAAATTCTGCAGAATTGCTTGCTTTTTATTATAGTTGAAAATAGATTTTTAATAAAATGGGCTAAAATATAATCTATAAACTTTCTGTTCAAGGAATTTTATATTACAGTGTTTTTACAATATGTTCCCAGTGAATGTTTAATTAATTCAGAAATTTTATGATCAAAAGGGAACAGTGGAGGTACCTGGCTGGCTCAGTCAGTGGAGCATACGACGTTTGAGTGCCACATTGGATGTAGAGACTAATTAAAAATAAAATCTTTAGGGGCGCCTGACTGGCTCAGTTAGAAGAGCATAGGACTCTTCATCTTGAGGTTGGGAGTTCAGGCCCCACCTTTGGTGTAGAGGTTACTTAAGTAGACTTTTTTTTTAATTAATAATCATAAAAATAATAAAAATTGATAACAAAATCTTTTTTAAAACAAAAGGAAAGGGGGATCCCTGGGTGGCGCAGCGGTTTGGCGCCTGCCTTTGGCCCAGGGCGCGATCCTGGAGATCCGGGATCGAATCCCACATCGGGCTCCCGGTGCATGGAACCTGCTTCTCCCTTTGCCTGTGTCTCTGCCTCTCTCTCTCTCTCTCTCTCTCTCTCTCTCTCTGTGACTATCATAAATAAATAAATAAAAATTTAAAAAAAAATAAAAAAATAAAAAAATAAAACAAAAGGAAAGGGATCCCTGGATGGCTCAGGAGTTTAGCGCCTGCCTTCAGCCCCAGGGCATGATCCTGGAGTCCCAGGATCAAGTCCCCAGTCAGGCTCCTTGTGTGGAACCTGCTTATCCCTCTGCCTGTGTCTCTGCCTCTCTCTCTGTCTCTCTCACGAATAAATAAATAAAATCTTTAAAAAAAAAAAAAAAAAAGAGGGCAGCCTGGGTGGCTCAGCAGTTTAGCGCCGCCTTCAGCCCCCGGCATGATCCTGGAGACCCAGGATCGAGTCCCACATCGGGCTCCCTGCATGGAGCCTGCTTCTCCGCCTCTCTCTCTGCATCTCTCATGAATAAATAAATAAAATATTTTTAAAAATTAAAAAATAAAAAGAAAGAGTGAACATTAGATTTTCATATTTCAGAATGTAGGCTAATTTATCTCATTAATTACATATATAGAATGTTAATTTTCTGTTTGAAGATAGGTTGTATTTATATACCTGTTTAGCTTGTAGTGATCAAATAATTTTCTTTGTCATCACCTAAAATTTATTTATTTATTTAGAATCATCTCCTATGACCCTGAATCGAAGGAGTTCAGGCCGACAAGGAGGAGTTCATGAATTGTCTGCTTTTGAACAACTTGTTGTGGAACTGGTACGGCATGATGACAGCTGGCCTTTTTTGAAACTCGTTTCCAAAATCCAGGTAATATTATTAGACTCGATAAAACGTATTCATGAATATTATCTGATTTAGTCTGCATGGCAGTCAAAACATCCATTAGTCACGATATACTTTGCTTTTTAAACACTTGGAAAGTTAGTTTCTAAATTGAAAAAAAAGGGGGATTAGAGAACATTCTCTGCTCAGTTCCTTCCAATCCTATGACTGATTCTCATGAATGATGACAGTATGTTGTGTTGAAATAGCTTCAATGTTTTTATTCTATGTAATGAATATGAATAGATTTAATTCAACTGTGTACTATTGATATTTCTGTTATGTAAAACAGCTGTTCTCAAACTGTAGCATACACTAAAATCAGCTGGGGTGTCTTGTTAAAACACAGGTTACTAGGCCTCATTCCAGAGTTCTTGATTCACTAGATCTGCAATGATACTGATGGGGCTGGTCTAAAGACCACTGTGTGAGAAAGATAGGGACTCTTAAAAAACAAAGAGGGCCTAAAACTAAGGCATTTGAGATGGTGCTGGAGTTATTTATATACGTGGGGCATAGTATGATGTGCTACAGCAGATATGACAGTATTATAGTGCTATAATAGAAGTTATAATGGTCTTCCAGAAGTAGAGAAAAAAAGGAGATTGATTTGAACTTTTCAGAGGGAGAGAATACCAGGAATTTGAAAGTTTGTTATGGAAGAACTGTTTGGTCCGGTCATTAAAGATGGGTGGAATTTCAACAGTGAGAAATGGAATAAGAACATTTTGGGAAAAGGGCATGATAAGTTAAAGACCCAGAAATGAAAATATGGGAAATGATGGGAAGTTTGAATGAAGCAGAGGGTGTGTTAGAGAGATTTCTGGAGCAAGAATGTGAAGGATTAATTACCATTGAATAGCATCCTATAAAAATTAAATCTCAGTTTGACTCTAATTCATTTTTCCTGAGTAGTTCTTGTGCTAAATAAGTTTTGTTATGTACATTTTATTATTTATTACAAATGCAGTAATGCTCATTAAATAACTGTATAGATACATATATGTTTCTCTTTATTTTTTTTATAGAAATATTTTCTTCCCTTTTTTTTAAGATTTTATTTATTTATTCATGAGAGAGACAGAGAGGGGCAGAGACACAGGCAGAGGGAGAAGCAGGCTCCACACAGGGAGCCCCAGATGGGACTTGATCCTGGATCTTCAGGATCAGGCCCTGGGCTGAAGGCAGCGCTAAACCACTGAGCCACCCGGGCTGCCCATATGTTTCTCTTTAGAGAGAAAAAGAGTACACAAGCAAAATCACAAACTTTTTCTTTTCACAATAAGTTAACATTTTTTGTAGTATCAAATAAGCTTCTACAACGTTATAGTGACTGAAATATATTATGTGGTTTTAATGGGATTAAAGTATTCAAAGGTTAATATTCAGTTGCTTTTAAGTGCAAAACTTTCACATATGTGACCACTTATCTCTGATAAATCTTCTATAGGAGAGATATATTTGAATTATTTTACAGGTCCCGGACTATTATGACATCATCAAAAAGCCCATTGCCTTAAATATAATTCGTGAAAAAGTGAACAAATGTGAATATAAATTAGCATGTAAGTAATTTATGTTTTCCTCTTATATTTTTGCTTAAAGAGGTAAAGACTTTTTTTTTGTGATTTAAATGATGTATATTACTGTGATTGTGTAGATGGCATCCCAAGAGGTCTCTAAAATGTTTGTCTATGGATATGGAGATGAAAGATACTGGGTAGGAACTGAATGAGTTAAATATTTTGTAGAATCTGGTCTTAATAGAAGTTCTGTGTAATCATCTAATGTTCCTAATTATGTAATTGCATAGTTTCAATAGAACAATTATAAAGCATTTTAGTTAATAATTTTAAGCTTTAGTTCTGCTACCTTGTTGTTTCAGAGGCTTCAATTTCTAAAGAAAAAGGTGGGCTTCATTTTCTTAATGACATTACCAGATATGATACAACAAAAATTATAATTTATGTACTTTTATTCTAATTTCTTTGTTTTTTTTCTTTCTAGCGGAATTTATTGATGATATTGAGTTAATGTTTTCGAACTGCTTTGAGTACAACCCTCGTAACACAAGTGAAGCAAAAGCTGGAACTAGGCTTCAAGCGTTTTTTCATATTCAGGCTCAAAAACTTGGACTACATGTCACTCCCGGGAATGTGGATCAAGTTAGCACACCACCAGCTGCAAAAAAGTCACGAATCTAATTTTGTCCTTCTAAAGGATATATTTGAGGAAAACAAATTGTTCATGAAAATGGAACATTAAATCATGCTCAAAAGCAGACATATATATATAAAGCAATAACAACTGATTGACCACACTGAAGTGTGGCCTGCACTATATTCTCAATTTTAATATTAAGCACTCAGGAGAATGTAGGAAAGATTTCCTTTGCTACAGTTTTGCTCAGCATCTAATAAGTTTGATAGATGTATTGGATATAGTACTGGTTTACAGAGGTTTTTGTACATTTTGAGATCATTCATGTGTCCCAATATCTTTGAAAATATTTTTTCATCTGTGATTTATTTTGTCATTGATTTTTTTTTAGAAGTGTGGTATTAAAGGAGATTTATCTAAACGGATAAATCTTCTATAGCACAGTTTAGAAAAGTATATATGTCTAAGAATTGTTTAATGAGCACATTCTTTCAACACTACACATGAATGAATCCAATTTTATATCCTTGAAGTGCTGTACCAGTGCTGGCTGGAGGTATTAAGTCTGAGTTTATTAACTAGATATTTATTTAGCATTCAAAATAATTTGTGAATTTGTTTTGTATTTATAAAATTTGTACCTGGAAAATGTTCTTTAATTTTTTAAACATTTTACTGTGTTTTTGTTTTATTTCTCTAACTTCCTTAATGACCAATCAATAAAAGGTAACACCCTCCCTTTTCCCTGACAGTTCTTTCAGTTTTACAGAACTGTATTACAAGTTTCTATGTACAACTTTTTTAAGTGTACAAATAAAATGATACATGTTTTTCAAGTATTCTGAACCTGGAATTTTTACAAATCAGAATTGAACTATTACATGTGATCCATACAGACCATCAGAACTAATGTTTTATTGTACCTGAGTCTGTAAGGCAGTGATTTGCACCTTTTTCAGCCCAGACCCTTGAGGAGTAAGATATCTCCATTAGTAACAGTAACCGTCCGTGACAGGGATTCTCAGAGTAAAAGGAGGAAAGAAAGTATAGGATACGCCAGGTAGGTTAAAAAACACCACTCAGAAATTTTTTTTTAAATAAAATAGGAAGTGCTATTTCTTAGGTGTGGAAGATACATAGGGCCTCAGTTTCATAGGAGTTGCTGTTCCTTTTCAGGATGCAAAAGGCAGGTGTCCTCTCCAGGGCTTTATTGGAAGGCAGTAGAATCATCCCTCTATTTTCTCATCTAAAATCTTGACAACTACTAAAAAAATAATAATAATAACATAAATAAAATCTTGACAGACGGGGGTGGGAGAAAAAATAAAAATAAAATAAATAAAATCTTGACAGTACTATATTCTCATTTAATTAGGCTTGCTTATTGGGTAGTTACCCCTGTTTTGTGTCTTTCTCATTTGCTTTGAGATGATCGACTCTGGATTCTTTGCATGAATATCATCACAACTGTAACTTTTGGCAAATTTGTAATCATTTCATATGCCAATTGTTTAATGAGCACATTAAATTTCTTAGAAAATCTTATTTAATAGTAGTTAGATGTTTAGGAGAGAATTCTAAAATATAATTGCACTTCCATAGTAAATTATCTGAGGGGCGCCTGGGTGGCTCAGTCAGTTAAGCGTCTGCCTTTGGCTCAGGTCGTGATCCCAGGGTTCTGGGACAGAGCCCCACGTCAGCCTTGTGTAGGCTCCCTGCTCAGTGGGAAGCCTGCTTCTCTCTCTTCCTCTGCCACTCCCCCTGCTTGTGCTCACTTGCTCACTTGCTCTGTCAAAATCTTTTTTAAAAAATAAATTATCTGATTACTTAATATTCTTCACTTTTTAATATTAATAACTTTTATATATTTGTTCTTCTAGACTAAACACTAAGAAGGGAAATTTTTTACTGAATTATTGAGTCTGTAAGTCTGTCTGAATGTCTTAAAACTTGGTAATTCAGGAACACCTGGGTGTTCCTGAGTGCTCAGTTAAGTGTCCGATCTCAGGGTCATGAGATCAAGCACTGTGTTGGGCTCCCCATTCAGCAAGGAGTCTGCTTGAGATTCTCTGCCCCCTGTTCCCCTGTCCCTGCCACCCCAAGGCTCACAGTCTTTTCGCTCTTTCTCTCTCTCTAAAATAATCTTTTAAAAAGTTGGCAATTTATATGTTGCCTTTCTCAGACTCAGTTAAATAAGACATTGCTTTTTAATCTACCTGGCCAGATTTTCTTAGATACAAAAATCATTACTTATTCATATACATACCTGCAGTAATTGAAATCTTGCACAGCAACAAGGCTCAAATGCAAGGACACATATTAATAGCTAGGAATGTAATGTTGACCAAGAAAATAGCATTATTCAACTCCTATTTTGATTTTATGTTTTTCTTCAAGGAAAAAGGACTACAAAAGGAATGAGTGGAACAAAAACATGATTGAGAAAACTGAAGTCCAAGATAGTCAAGGAGAATTTCAGTCTGCTTGTTACCACTTACAGGTTCAGTCACTAACCCCAGATAAATTATATTTCTAAAAGCACTTGATTTGTAATTGCAAGACAGAGCCAAAAGGGAAAGAAATTAACACACCCTGTAACATGCCAAGCCCTTAATATAAAAGTTTATATCCCTCATACCTAATAACTATGGGAAATGCTTTTTATGTTTTGTGAGGTTTTTTTAAGCTTGACAGATCTGTTTGAGAGAGTACACACACACGTGCATGCTTGCAAGCTGGGGGTGGGCAGAGGGAGAGGGAAAGGGAAAGAATCCCAAGTAGACTCCATGCTGAGTGAGCATGGAGCCCCATGTGGGGCTCACTCCCATGACCCTGAGATCATGACATGAGCCAAAATCGAGTCCCATGCTCAACCAACTGAGCCACCCAGGCGCCCTGGGAAATGTTTTTTATGTTAAACAAGGCAGTTCTGGGGGCACCTGGGTGGCTCAGCAGTTGAGGCACTGCCTTTGGCACAGGTCATGATCCCAGGGTCCTAGGATTGAGTCCCACATTGGGCTCCCTGCAGGGAGTCTGCTTCTCCCTCTGCCTATGTCTCTGGCTCTTTAAAAAATAGATAAGGCAATTCTATAAGGATTTTTGCTGTTATTCTCTCCATTTTTCAAGTGAGGTTTAGACTCAGAAATTTTTTTTTTGTAGGTACTTACCCAAGATTACAGAGTAAATGACACCAGGCTTTCAAAGTTCTGTATTTCCAATACACTAGGCTACCTCCAGGAAGAAGAGGGATAAGCAGATTTACCTCTGTGATCAATATAAAAGAGTGAGCAGAAGGCAAAATAGAGAATGTGTATGTAGATGTATCCATGTCAGACAGTAGTCTACATCACGTTTTTCAAAGAGTTATTCATTGTAAACACATGATTATTTTCCTTCCTCATTTGTAGTTTCTAAGGCTCTCTGTCCTATTCTTTAGCCGTGTGCTCAGAATATGTATTTAAGGGAGCATGAGTACTAAAAAAGCTGCTGTCTTCCAAACTTTGGATTTAGGTCCTATGCATATTTGGCTACAGATCCAATTCATACTGGCTATAGGGTCCTTACTAATATTTTGGCATATTTGGATGTGTGAGAAGCAGAAATTTAATACCTATGCCATGCTTTGAAAATCGTCTTCCAATATAGTTCATTCTCTAATTTGTTTGCTATTTTTTTCCAGTGCTAAAATATTTAAATATTTTAGGCTTTCTCAGGAGAAGAAGAGGTATGGTGAGTTGCACACATGTAGGCTCACAGTTTTAATTTTTTTAAAAAATGGGCAGAGCACTAGGTTAATTTCATTAACAACATGAAGAAAATTGCACATAAACTACATATTCCACGTTAGCTCTGTATACTCAGAGTTCAAGTGGGTTTACTATGGTAACAGTATCAGGGCAAATCTCTAGATTAGAAAAAACATGCAGGAATATCAGCCTGTTAGTAATTCAATGGTATACAATGACCAAGCAGCCTTTAATCTTTCTTTTTTTTTTTTAAAGATTGATTTATCTATTTATGATAGACAGAGAGAGAGAGGCAGAGACACAGGAGAGAGAAGCAGGCTCCATGCTGGGAGCCTGATGTGGGACTCGATCCCGGGACTCCAGGATCATGCCCTGGGCCAAAAGCAGGCGCCAAACCGCTGAGCCACCCAGGGATCCCCCTTTAATCTTTCTATTCATTCTCTGTCTCTGCAGAAGTTTTGTTTTGAGAGCCAATGACACTTTGTATCAAATTTGAGAAAAATATATTCAGAGCATTGATGAACAAATAACTGAATGTAAAATTTAAAGCTGTGATTCAAGCCTTTGATCTGGTCAATATTATACATATATTTTCTCCAGGAATACAAAGAGCTTACTCCTCCTAGTTATAAAATTAATAAACAGCCATTGTCCAAAAAATAGAACACAGTAAAATACAAAATAGAAATAAATTTGATGTATAATTTTTCAAATTAGTTTCTTCAGCAAAAATGGGATCGTGGCATACAAATCCTATTTTTTTATTTAAATTCAATTAATTTACATATTATTAGTTTCAGAGGTATCAGTGATTCATCAGCTGCATATAACACCCAGTGCTCATCACGTCATGTGCCCTCCTTAATGTCCATCACCCAGTTACCCCATCCCCCAACCCAACTCCCCTCCAGCGACCCTCAGTTTGTTTCCTATGATAAGAGTCTCTTATGGTTGATCTTCCTCTGATTTTGTCTTGTTTTATTTTTCCCTCTTCCCCTATAATCCTGTTTAGTTTCTTAAATTCCACATAACAAGTGAGATCATATAATTGTCTTTCTCTGACTACAAATCCTATTTCAAGCAGCTTTTTTCACTTAGTACAATACATTGTAGATACCTCTGTTCATTTTGTGCTGTCCAATATTCCACTGCATCTAAGACCTCATTGGGAAACTTATCTGCTATAAACAACTAGAAAAGTGAACAAAATATACCAAACCTTTCATAGATTGGACAATAATCAATATAGAACTGTCATCTGCAAGATTTCCCTATTGCTGGAATTATCTTCCTAAATAATAAAACTAAGCCACTCAATTTCTTATTTACAAGTTTCCTTTCCTTTCACCTCCAATGGGATTAGCTTGGCCTGCACAATATGACACCATTCTGTCAGCCTCATCTATTACTTGCCACTACACCATCTACATGTTGGTCCCTGTCACACTAGCCTCTATTGTTTCTCAGGTATTAGGCCTCTTTTAAGGCTTCATGCCTTTTCACTTGCTATGCCTTCCACCTGAAATGTCTTTCTGCCACTTCCAGCCTGAAGCTGATAAACTAAAAACATCCAGAACACAGTTTTTTGGAATGATGAAAAGTTCCAGAAATTGATAGGTGTGATGGTTGCATGACAGTATGACTGTACTTAATGACACTGAATGGAACACTTAAAAATGGTTAAAATGGGGATCCCTGGGTGGTACAGAGGTTTGGCGCCTGCCTTTGGTCCAGGGCGCGATCCTGGAGACCCGGGATCGAGTCCCACGTCGGGCTCCCGGTGCATGGAGCCTGCTTCTCCCTCTGCCTGTGTCTCTGCCTCTCTCTCTGTGTGACTATCATAAATAAATAAAAATTAAAAAAAAATGGTTAAAATGGAAACTTCACATGCACCTGCCTGACTCAGTTGGTGACATTGAGACTCTTCATCTCACGGTCATGAGTTCGATCCCCATGTTGAGCAGAGTTTATTTTAAAAATAAACATAAAATGGAAACTGTAATGTGTATGTTTTACAGTAAGTTTTTAAATGGTAAGTTTATGTGTATTTTACCATGATAAAATATATAAATTTTTTAAACACCCAGAAATGT